ACTCTCTAAGATTATTACAAAAGACTACAACAGAAACGGAGTTCTGAGCAGGCCTGTCAGTTTGCACACAGGTGAGACTCATTGTACACATTAACTTCTACCGCCCACAACGCATCCTTGCTTTATCTTTTTTAATAAATCTTTTATATTTATTTATTTATTATATATACAGTGTTCTGTCTGTGTGTATGTCTGCAGGCCAGAAATGGGCACCAGACCTTATTACAGACGGTTGTGAGCCACCATGTGGTTGCCGGGAATTGAACTCAGGACCTTTGGAAGAGCAGGCAATGCTCTTAACCACTGAGCCATCTCTCCAGCCCTGCTTTATCTCTTAAAATACTTTCTGATGTTGTTGTTTTAAAGGAATTTCCTAAATGAAGACTGGTAATAGGAAGCAAATCAATAGTTTTCTGTTGTTCAGTGAGAAAACTGATTACTCAGAAATGGGGGAGAATGCACTCAACATAATCCTCCAAGGAGAAACGTTAGACGGGTCATGAGCTGGAACTTGGCTGTCGGCCTGCTGAAGATGGTAGATGGCATTTCAGTGAGGAAAGGGTTGGTTTAAATGTGTGTACATGTTCATGTGTGCACAAGAGCACGCAGAGACCAGTGTCTTCACAGTCTCTCATTGAAGCTGAAGATCACCCATTTGGCTAAATCCATTGGCCAGCAAGTCCTTGTGCCCCCACATCCTCTGCCTTCCCAGCACCAAGATTACAGGCTCATGTGACTACTGATTTATGTGGATGCTGGAGATCCAAACTCAGATCCTCATCCATGCAAGCACTTTACCAAATCAGTCATCTCCCCAATCTTCATGTGTCGGTTTTTTCTTTTCCTTTTTTTTTTTGGGGGGGGGGGGGAGATGGAGTTTTATGTAGCTCAGGCTGGCCTTTAACTGCATGTAAAGCTCAAGATTGACCTTGAAATCACATGTATGCACCACCACTCCAGTTATGCTGGGACCTGAATTCCGCAGATTCACGCAGCCTAGGCAAACAGTCCACCAAGCTGTCTCCAACCCCTACTGCATCTTCTCACACTTCCTAAGATGCTGATTTTGTTCCCTGTTAACTACGGACTAAGGCAAATCAGTAAGTCAAGACCTTTTACCATGGAAGGTCCTGACTAACACAATCAGAAAAGTTTTGCCTGATAAAGGATGCAAGATTAATTCAACCTAACAATGAGTCTGATGCCAAAGAAATCTACCACCTGTACTCTGAAGTAGAAAATCAAGTGCATTAGACTCAATTATTTGGCCCTAAAGGACACAGGACACACGTAGGCTGGCAAACCAGTTTTTAAATACAAGCCCAGTTTAGTGAACTTCAAGGCTTCATCATTGTTTTTTGTTTGTTTGTTTGTTTTGTATCGGGTTTTAAAGCTTTTAGGAATCACTGTATTCTTAGATGTATTTCACTCCTATTCTGAATAGGAAGAGGGGCCTAGAAACATAATACTTGTGTAACAAGAAACTCATCGTGAGGAAGTAATTTTAATGTTTTAATGTCAGATGCAAAGCATTCATCTTTCCTGCAAATATCTATGTCATTGAGTGGAATGCTTAGTCCATAAAAATCAATGGGCAGTTAGTACACTTCCACCGCAGAACATCTAACACTGGAAGCCCAGACAACAAAGAGCTTCCTTGCCATTAGACAGGGAAACTGGCTATGAAAACCAAGTTAGCTTTACAGTTGTACAATCCTGCCCCTGCCTCCTGAGTGCTGGATTACAGCTATCACTGCACTTTTCTCTCTCATCTCCAGCCGCCCTCTCTCTTTCAAGACAGGGTGTTTCTGTGTAGCCCTGGCTAGTCTGGAATTTGCTCTGTAGACCAGGCTGGCCTTGAATCCAGAGATCTGCCTGCCTCTGCCTCCAGAGTGCTGGGATTAAAGGCATGCGCCATCACTGCCTGGCATCTTCACTCTTGTATCTCATTCCCCAACTAATTTCTACGTTCGAATGACTATCAAGGCTGTTCTGATTCTACTTTAGCTAAGATCCTGTTCAATTTCCTTAACATTTCAAAGAGCTGGTGTTCCACTAAAGAACAAAACAAAACAAAACGACAAAAAAAAAAAAAAAAAAACAACCTTTTAGCTAGGTCACAGACATGACAGTGTACTGCTAAACCAAAAATAGTTCTTTTGAAGTGATCTGATAGAGGCTGTCTACCTGTAGCTAAGTACAACAGACAGGAAAACAACATGTACAGATTAGCAATTCGAACATAAAAAGCCATGTCCATCACAAATTGTACAACTGGCTTTCGTTTATTTTGTGTACATAGATGTATCTCGAAGGTATTCCCAAAGGCGTCCTTTAAAACATGCGCAGGTGCAGTGGATCACAACTGTGATCCCAGTCAGTATTTGGGAGGCAGAAGCAGGGGGATTGAAACTTGGGAGAGTAAACTCTTTCTGAACTGATGAGGGATGGGAGAAACCTCTATCAGTGTAGCTGGCTTTCAGCAAACCCTATGTGGATGCAGAGAAGCATGCTGTTAATGAAAAGTCTCTTGCTGGTACTAGGTAGCCTTGTCTAGGTGTTAAGAATATAGATGGTGCCAAGCAGTGGTGGTGCAGGCCTTTAATCCCAGCACTTGGGAGGGAGAGACAGGCAGATTTCAGTGAGTTCAAGGCCAGCCTGGTCTACAAAGTGAGTTCCAGGACAGCCAGGGCTGTTACACAGAGAAACCCCGTCTCAACCAAAAAGAAAGAAAGAAAGAAAAAGAATATAGATGAAAATAAAGACAGCTGTATCAAATTCAGCAAGTGCTTTTCTAAAATGAAAAGGATAATGTAGTGACTCTTCTCAAAGGACTCCCTGGCTGGAATGTAACACTTGCCAGGCAAGAGCATGGCCTGTTCAACTTCCAGTTCTTTGAAGGGGGAAACAGTCACTGGGCATGGGCATGGAGGCACACACCTATAATCCCAGCGCCTGAGAGACTGAGGCAAAAGGATTACAAATTTGAGGCTAGCCTGCGCTACACAGTAAAGACCACATCTCCAAAGGAAAAACAGCAAATACTTCAGCTGGGCGTAGTGGTGCACACCTTTAATCCCAACACTCAACAGACACACAGATCTCTGTGAGTTCAAGGCCAGCCTGGTCACACAGAGTTAGTTCCAGGACAGCCAAAGATATACAGAAAAACTATGTCTGAAAAAAACAAAACCAACCAAACCAACCAACCGACCAAATCCCCCAAATACCTCCCAAAGCAATCAAGCAAACAATTCCTTACTCAAAATATGGCTAGACCTTTGAGAAATTTCAGAACACAAGGCTTGAAATTCGACAGTTGCACTCATTAAAGCAACAGTAACCCTACTTCATAAAGTCTAGTCTGCGAGGATAGTTTTCTCTTCCCATTGCTATTTCCCACCATGTCTACTAATCCCCAAGCACTTATCAGCATGTAGTTGCTTCCCAGGTTTCAGTCTGTCCTACCATCCTCCAGTTCGGGACGGCCACAGCTGCCCCTTGTGTCCTAGCCAGATCTCTTGGCCGTTTTCCTTACTCCCACTGCCACCTACACACCATCCTCCATCCCTCCCTATGTCTACAGCAGTTTCCCACTTCCATCTGTCACTTCCCCACCTCCTTTTGATTTTCATCTCTGCCTCAAAAGCCCTCTTCTCCTAGGAGGCTTTCCTTAATCAAGATTAAAATCCTTCACACAACAGACACAACAGCACTGAAATCTAACGTATGCAGAAATTGCAGACCAATGGTTAACTTTCACGGTGGAATGGAATCTGTGTATAACCAACCAGTGTTGGTGGTGGTGACAAAAATGCATTTTCTAAGAATGCCTACTAAAGAAAGGAAACCATGTCCACAAGTTACCCTTTCTTTTTAATGAAAAATTTTTTCAAATATCTTGTTCATTATTTCTCCTCCTCCAACTACCCCATATCATGCCAACCTCTATACTCACCCAATTTCATGTTCTCTTCTTCCTTTCAAAAAAAAAAGGGGGGGGCTGGTGAGATGGCTCAGTGGTTAAGAGCACTGACTGCTCCTCCAGAGGACCTGGGTTCAATTCCCAGCACCCACATGGCAGCTCGCAGCTGTCTGTAACTCCAGTTCAAGAGAATCTGACATCGTTATACCAATGTGCATGAAATAAAGTTGTTGGTTAAAAAAAAAAAAAGAAAGAAAGAAAAGAAAAGCAAAACAGTAAGACAAAAAGTTGTCCTTTTTAAAGAAAGGAAGTTGTTGGACTACTCTCAGATCTAGTGTTCTTCTCTGTCCAGCAGAAAGTTTAGCCAGTAAAAAGTGCTGGCTGCATCAGCCTGACGACCTGAGTTTGATCCTTAAAGCTCACGGTGGGAGGAAAGAACTGACACAGAAGAGTGGTTGTCTGACCCCACATGCACACGTGTGACACAGCCATGCCGCCTGTCCTGCCCATTATCAATTTTTAAAAACATACTGTTCTCTCATTCTCTAGATACCCATTAGCAAGCTGCAAACACATTTGCATTAGTTACAAGTCTGAGCACGCACTTCCAGCAAAACACTGGATCCTTACTGGTGTCTGAATGTTAAAGGAGAGAGAGACCTGTGCAGACTCTAAAGTTATGCCCCCCTGCAGACATGAGATAACCACGACTGAGTTTGGCTTCTTATTTTGCTGAAGGCTTGAGGACCACGTTTCAGATGTGGTGGAACTACTCATCCTCACAGCTACTGAGTCTCATATGAAGTGGCTTTACTTGTGTTTGAAAAGCAGCTTTTATTGCAGGCTAGCTGTTTGCCACTGAAAGATTAGGGTTCAGGTCTCAACTGAAGCAAAGCTGGGTGAGTTGCATCATCTCTATCCTCATGGGCCTAGTATTTTGGAAACCCAGGGTAACAAGGTGAGACCAGGACACAGGACACACGTGTAAGCAGAGAGAGTGCAGCATGTTGAGGCGGGCATCCAACAACCCAAGTGTGCTTTTAGTTACCAGAATATCTGACACACCCACAAATTAAATAGCAAAACATTTTAATCCATTAATTCTAAAAATAACAGAGACATTTTATATCCGGTGCCACCTCCTCAAGAGTCTACTGCAGATCAGACAGCCAGACTGCAAAGTACAAAGCCAGACATTAAAGTTAAAAATGCAGCCTGAGACAGACCATCATGGGGGAGATTTTCCACCTCTTCAGCTCATAAACTAAGATGTCAGCTTAAAAAAAAAAAATCCTTGAAAGAAAAGGCTTTCCTGTGCTTTAAAAACCCTCCTCTTCATTTAAAATCTGTCTGCAAGATGGGAAGCCAGAGTCAGAGAACTCCACTCTCAAGTGCAAGGATCCGCACTGGACCCCTGGGAGGAAATGCTGTGGCTTGGTTCTACTTTCACCAAAGCCAGGATGTGAGGTACTATAGTGCTAGGAATGCATGCCCACTCTTGTTTAAGAATAACTCGGCAAGCACACACTCTGCATCACTACCCCACAACAGGAGCACTCTACAGCAGGGCAGAGAAGAAAGAAATCGACGCACTTGGAGTCCCTGTGTCTTCCTTCTTTTCACAGTAAGAATCCAACTCAAACACAAGTCTCCAGAATGTGTACACTGTCCTGTGACCCGCCACGTTCCAAACTTCTGGTTTGCATTGTCAAGCAGAGAGAGACTCAGGCTTTAGTGATGTATCCTTCTCGGATGAGGAAGTCATAGATTTTCCGGGTTTTGTTCACGTCTATCTTGATGAGCGCTCGTGCCTGTGCCAGTCTCAAGCCTCCTTGCTTGTTACACTCATTCAACAGAGCAGACTTATACTCTAAATAGGCTCCAGGTACCAGCCTCACCACCTGACAGAGCTGTAAGACACGACAAATTTAATAAACGTTAACATCTGTCATTCTCACAATTTAATCCAGAAGGTATGGCAACCCCAAAAGAAGGAAAATGGGGTGGGGCTGGAGAGATGGTTGGGCAGATAAAGGCATTTGCCACCAAGACTTGACAATTTAAGTTTGATCCCTGGGACCAACATGGTGAAAAGAGAAAACCAACTTCTTTCTTTCTTTATTTTTTTGGTTTTGTTTTTTCGAGACAGGGTTTCTCTGTAGCTTTGGAGCCTCTCCACGAACTAGCTCTTGTAGACCAGATTGACCTCGAACTCACAAAGATCCACCTGCGACTGCCTCCCAAGCTGGGATTAAAGGCTTGCGCCACCACCTCCCGGCAAGAAAAGCAACTTCTTCAAATTGTCTCCTGACCTCCACAACATACTGTGGCACACAGATGCCCCTCCCTTCACTCCACGCACCCAAAATAAAATGTATTTGAAAAAAAGTGACATCAACCTCCAACTATTTATGGGAGCTGTTGAGTGGCTGGGCCACATTCCACTTCCTCTCTTCTCTGGAGACAGACATTCAGGAAGAAAAAGGCAGATGTGACATCAGCCAGGAGAGCCTTCAGCAAGTGAAGGCTGGCTCAAGGATCTAGTTCAGATAGAGAACAAATACATGTCCCTGAGGAGGGTTAAATGCCTGGAGTTGTCACTCAGCATCATATTGATATAGTCAGGGAAATAACCCAGAGTACAGCGGGGCATTGAGGGGTGGTGGGATCTCAGGGGCCTGGATTCCTAAGTGGAAATCACACTGTTGCCACTGGCAGAAGAGAGCAGTCTGGTTTTTACATCTCCTACCACCTGCCATTGTCAGCACCGAGTAGTCTGAGTCCAGCATATGGGTAAGCAGTGAAAAGATGTATGGAATTCCAGATCAACACACAACACTGAGAAACTGGTCTGTAACTTTCTTCAACACACACTTCTTTCTACCCCAAAAGAAATGGCTATTTCTTTCTGATGAATAAAAGGCTAATACAGGTCCCCGCACTGTGACTTCTTAAGTGCCTGACGTGAGCGGATGCTATGAACCAACAGATGGGGGACAGACACTGGGAACTGCAAAGGAATAAGAAGAGCTCCTCTTTTGTGATTTTGGTTTGATTTTTTTTGGTACAGGGTCTCTGGTGGCCTCTGAACGCACTAGATAGCTGAGAGCTGTGGATGTGCCTAACCCCCGATCCTCTGCCTCCACCTCCCAAGTGTTGGGAATACAGGAGAGTACCACCCAAGCAGACTTTCATTCACTGTATGTCCTAGGCCGACCTCACAGTCTCCCCCATCTCAGACTTTCAAGTGCTAAAATTAGAGATCTATAACCATACCTAACTAGATGTGCAGATTTAAATGCTAGAAACAGACAAAAGCAACACAGAGACAGGTCAGTGATTACAATGGCAAAGAAGGTCATGGTACTTTTTAAAATTAATGTGTTGTAGGAGTGTGTGTGTGTGTGTGTGTGTGTGTGTGTGTACGTGCGTGCATACATCTGGGAAGCAGAGGCAAGCAAATCTCTGTTGAGTCTGAGGCAAGCAGCACTACACAGGGATTTAGTTCCAGGCCAGACAGTGTTAGAGAGTGAGACGTCGCCTCAAAAGTAAAAATAATATGCAACTACACAACACTGGATTATTTTCCTTATGCTTATCAACATTCCATGGAAACAATTATAAAAACATTCTAAGTGATGGTTACGTTGCTGGAATAAGTGCAGAACTGCTCAAAACAACCATTCTAATAGAAAAGTCCTATTTTCTTTCTTTTTTTTTTTTTGGTTTTTCGAGACAGGGTTTCTCTGTGGTTTTGGAGCCTGTCCTGGAACTAGCTCTTGTAGACCAGGCTGGTCTCGAACTCACAGAGATCCGCCTGCCTCTGCCTCCCGAGTGCTGAGATTAAAGGCGTGCGCCACCACCGCCCAGCCGAAAAGTCCTATTTTCATGTAAAAGCTACTTTAGGCCTGCAAAAAGTTTCACTTACATAAAGCATCAAGTGGAGCATCTGCCACATAAATGCTCAATAAGTGACAGCTGCTGCTGCTATTTAACTGACACTGGTGTATGCACTTCCCTCAAAAAGGGGAAAGGTAGCTTCGAGACGAAAGAAGTTAGCTCGTTAGCTCCACGACTTCTCAGACAAGTACAGTAAAATAGGTTTGATGTTGTCATGGATTTTAATGATAACTCAATGAATTAATCAGCCCCTCTTTCCTTTCCTCGGGTTCCCCTCCCATTTCTTACCTCCTTTTCTTTTTCATTGAGTTTCTCTGTACCAGGGAGGCCGGTGAGGTTCAAGGGTGGTGCACATCGTCTTCCTATAGACACAAATGCAAAAGAATAAATACTTCACAGAGGTACAACTGTTCAAGTATAAAACAGAAAGCCTAACCCACTCCCTTAGGCTGGTTTAGCTAGCTCCTTGACACTGGTGGTCTGATTGAGAACAGCCTCCACAGGCTGATATTTAGATGATTTAAATGCTTGGTCCCCAATTGGTGGGACTATTTGGGAAGGATTAGGTGGTGTGGCCTTGACAGAGGTGTGGGGGCATTCCCAGAGTGTGCTCTGCTTCCCGACCACAGATTAGGACGACAGCCCTCAGCTGTTCCTGCTGCCATCCCTTTCACACCTTTGCTCTGGATCACAGACTCTAACTCTTTGCAACCATAAACCCAATTAAATGCTTTCACTTAGAAGTTGCCTTGGACAAGGTGTTTTACCAGAGCAATAGAAAAGTAACTAATACAGTCACCCAACATTCCATTTGAAAATAAAAATAACAATCCGTGTGCTCTTTATTCTGTTGATTTACAAATATGGTCATGCACACCTTAATATCAACGATCACTCAGCACAGTGGAGGAACCTGTCTGATAGGAGACTCTAAACTCTGGAGCCCAGATGCTCATACAGTGTAGAAAGTTATATTCTGTGTGTCTGGACAGTTGACGAATAGAAACAGGAATCCTGCAAGAGAGATTCACCACTCTCCAGCAGGACAAGGCAAACATGGTAATTAACCAAGTACTATGTACCTTCAGATCAAAGGTGGAGTCAGGCCAACAAAGCTCTGTTTGTTTACTCTGCTTTGAAAAGAAGTGATGTTTAACTGAAAGATCCACACTAGAATAACAAGCTGAATATCATATTTGCTGTATGGCAAAGCAAGGACCAATGTTAACTTCGTATCTGAGAAGAAACCCATACACAGGAGGCAGTACCAGACTTGCCAGGCCAGCCTATAAAAATGAATGCACAAGAGCTTCTTCCTTTAATGGATGATGATGATCAGTGTGTGTGCTGCACAGGCCACAGATGAGAAGGTCGGACAACAACTGTGTGGTCTCAGTGCCCTCCTTCCGGCCTAGCTTTGCTAGGGTTCCAGAGATTTCCAGCCTTACCACCTTTACCTGCTGGGCCATCTCGCTTGCCCCTAGTTTTATTCTGAACAGATGCTTGGGATGAGTGCTCGGTTGGGGATGGATGGAGTGGGTTAAGTTTTATGGGGACTGCCACTGGAATGGGACAGAAGGAAGAAAGGGCTGCTCAAGTTGTTCTGGGAAACCTGATTCTTGAGGACATCAAAAGGGCTAAAAAATGAAGGCTTAGAAATGGAGATAAGAGGCTGGAAACATAGTTCACTTGTTGAGAGCACTGACTGTTCTTCCAGAGAGCCTGAGTTCAATTTCCAGCACCCACACAGTGGCTCACAACCTCTATAATAGGATCAGTGCCTCTGCTAGCAGGCAGAGCACTCATACATAAACTGTAAAAAATAAAATAAACAAAAACTAAGAAAAAAGAAATGGAGATAAATTCATGTGCTATCTCATAAGTCTCCCAAGGCTAGGCTACAACCTGGAATGCTGAGCTCCCAATCTTTCACTGCCTGAAGAGCAAGTCAGACATAGAGGCTCAGGAGCCAGGAATCTCAACAACACAAAGAGAAAGAAGGAAGGCTATGAGGAAACAGTGAGCTGCACAATTGTTTTAAATAGCCAGTAACAAGTTTTTTAATTTCTGTGCTTAGCAAGGGGGAGGTTTGAAATAATAAGCATGCAAAGGCCGGGCGGTGCTAGCGCACGCCTTTAAATCCAACACTTGGGAAGCAGAGGCAGGTGAATCTTAGTGAGTTCGAGGCCGGCCTGGTCTACAAAGGGAGTTCCAGGACAGCCAGGGCTGTTACACAGAGAAACCCTGTCTTCAAAAACAAAAACAAAACAAAACAAGCTTACAAAATTAAATCTGGAGTCCATTGTTTTGGTGACTCCTTAAAAGGCTCTCTTTCCTTTCAAGTATCAAATAATGACTTGAGGGGCTGGAAACACACTTAGAGGTTAAGAACACTTGCTGCTCTTGCAAAAAAAAAAAAAAAAAAAAAAAAAAAATTCCAAGTTCAGCTTCCAGCACTTAATTAGGCAGCTCACAACTGTCTGCAACTCCAATTCCAGAAGATCCAATGCCCTCTTCAGGCATCTGCATTCATGTGATACACACATATAACTCAGGCACATAGACATAAATCTTTAAACAAAAAAATAATTACTTAAAACAAAGGAAAACAATTATCCACCAAATGCCCATATCTGAGCACTATTAGATCTGGAGTATATGGAGACTTTTGTTCAAGACGAGGTTTCACTATCTAGTCCAGATTAGACCCAACCTTCCCATCCTCCTGACTCAGCCTCCCTAGTACTAGGATTACAGGTGTATGCCATCAGAGGTAGCATACTGAGAGAATTTCAAGGTTTGTTGTTACAACTGCACCATGTTATACCACTGTGCTTCTTCTGGTTGTGGTCTGGATGTTCAGATTAGGAGAAATTCTGTCATATGAGGCGGGGATGAATGGCGATCAGGACAATTGACAAAAACACCACAACTGTGGCTCAGTAACTTCATTATGTTATCTCCCCAAATACTAAGTCAAAAGCAACAGTCACCAAGAATCATCACACTGCATTGGCTTATTTGTCTTGCTCTGACAGTTAATTTCAAAATGGGACAGACTCAAAATAGGTAAAGCTCAGAAGCATAGATTCCTTAAGCCTCTAGTCACAAGAAATCCTTGAGTTTCTGGCAAGTGCCTTGCTGCTCATGTCACATCCATAGCTCTTCATGTAGCACTTCTAAAGCACACTGCAACACTGCCACAGGTCCCAACTGTAAACACCAGTAAAAGAGCATCCTTCTGAGTCCTGCTCGCGAAAAGGGCCATCCCTATCTGACCACGAAGTCTGAAAGCACGCTGGTGTGCACGAGCCATTCCAACAGTTGATTACCATCACTCTACCAAAGAACCATGCTCTACAGGGGAGTAGCTTTGTCACACAACCCTTGAGATGTAAATGCCAGTCCACACTTGCTCTGGGCTGGGGAATAGCTAAGTGCTAGAAGATGCACATGTCCAGTATGTGAGAGGCCCTGGCTTCAATCTCCAGTGCTGGAAAAGAATAGAATAGAAAAGACACACAATCCACAAAACCCCTGGTGATAGCCTGAGAAATCATTACCTGAGTTTGAAGCCATCAGAACAGAAGGACTCAGCCCAGAATCACTAAAACAAAGAAAAGAAATTTAAATTTAGGTCTTATCAAAGGCAATTTCTAAAACCCCTCAAAGGACTGGGAGCATTTATCAGGAAGATCATCCAAGAATAGCTGTGGTGAGATTGCATGACACTTCAGAGTTATCTCACTGTACAGGAAAGAGAAAAACTTCCCTCACCTTTGCTAAGGGCTCTTAGCAGAGGACAGCACCAAAGCAATTTGCAGGAAAGGAAATTTTAACAAAAACCACACCATCTAGGTGGGTACAGACATGGGTGACAGTGGAGTTGAGACAGGGTTTCACTGTGTCTCCTCCACTGGCCTGGACCTCAGCAGGACTCCCTTCCCCTACCCCTCCAGAGCACTGCAATTACAGGTGTGTGCCACCACAACCCGTTTCAGAGACACTTTTTTTAAAAAAAAAAAAAAAAAAAAAGAACAAAATAGGAACAGAGAATTACATAAGACTAGTTACGTTTCTTTTTGGGGGGAATAAGGTAGGGGGTTTTAAGACAGGGTTTCTCTGTATAGCCTTGGCTTTCCTAGAACTCACTTTATAGACCAGGCTGGCCTTGAACTCACAAGTGCCAAGACTGCCCACTCTAGTTTGTTTCTTTCTTTTAAATTTATTTATTTATTTATTTATTTATTTATTTTGTATGCGGTGATCTCTCTGCAAGTATGCCTGCAGGCCAGAAGAAGGCTCAAGATCTCATTACAGATGGTTGTGAGCAACCATGTGGTTGCTGGGAATTGAACTCAGGACCTCTGGGAGGACAGGCAGTGCCATCTCTCCAGCCCCTGACTAGTTTCTTTTTTTTTTTTTTCTTTTTTGAGGCAGGGTTTCTTGGTGGCTTTGGAGCCTGTCCTGGAACTAGCTCTTGTAGACCAGACTGGCCTCGAACTCACAGAGATCCTCCTGCCTCTGCCTCTCAAGTGCTGGGATTAAAGGTGTGCACCACCACCGCCTGGCCCCCCACTAGTTTCTTATGTCTGCCAATTCTATACTGTTTCTAGATGGACTTGTAAAAATCCTTACTATAGCCAGGCGGTGGTGGCGCACGTCTTTAATCCCAGCACTCGAGAGGCAGAGGCAGGGGGATCTCTATGAGTTTGAGGCCACCTTGGCCTACAAGAGCTAGTTCCAGGACAGGCTCCAAAGCTACAGAGAAACCCTCTCTCAAAAAACTAAAACCAAATCCCCCCTCCCCCGATTCCTTACTACTCTAACACCCAGAATACCCACCAAAGTGTCTAAAAATACATGTAAAGCCCGAGAATGCCAGAAGGGGTGCTTCCTTCAGCCTGCCCCAACTACATACATGTCAGCCTGCCGGCGGAGCCACTGCTGACATGCGCTGCTGTCCTGGATGTACTGGAGAACTTCTGAGAGCATGGTACGTTTAAGGCGCTCCTCCTCTCTAGTCTTCTTCAGGTGATCGTATGTCCTGGCACCTGGAGGGGCAGAAGACACCTGACTTCAAGGAAAATACAGCAGAGTCAAAGGGTCTTCTAACTGAGCTTAACCAACATTGCCACTTCAGGTTTCCTTTGCAAAACTGCTCTCATAACTTTTCCCAGGAGTCAATGTATGTCTGAGTCTGAAATATGTCATACTTGGTTCTACTTTTTCCATTTGTGAGTGGATCTGACTCAGGGCTCTGAACATCTTAAGATAGTACTATACCACTAAAGTATACAATCGGCTACTTGAAGACATATATATGGACATATATTCTTCCATCAAACCCAATTCCAATTTTTGTACTACAACTTTCCTCTCTATCACATATGCACAGAAAGCAGAACTAGGCAACCAGACTGAATTATCAGAGTCCACATATGTTTCTTATGCAACAGAAGGGTTATCTATTGTCTTCTATACATCAATAAAGTTATACAGATTTCAGACTACCATACCAGTGGCTCTAACCAATTCTTTTGTTGTTATTTTTCTTTTCTTTTCTTGGTTTGTCCTTCCTTCCTTCCTTCCTTCCTTCCTTCCTTCTTTCCTTCCTTCCTTTTTGGTTTTTCGAGACAGGGTTTCTCTGTGGTTTTGGAGCCTGTCCTGGAACTAGCCCTTGTAGACCAGGCTGGTCTCGAACTCACAGAGATCCGCCTGCCTCTGCCTCCCAAGTGCTGGGATTAAAGAAGTGTGCCATCACCGCCTGGCTTTCTCACCAATTTTCAAGAGATTTAAAGAGCTAGTAAATAGAGGAGTCAGAACCTAACCATAAGCAATCCAGTCTCTTGTATGCTTGTTTGCTAGGTCTGAACACAGGGTCCTGCACATGTGTGGTAAGCATTCTAAACGCTGATAGACACCCCCAGGTCTATGCTGCCTAGTCACAGCCTTTCCTTACAACCTGGCTCTTCTATTAACTAGCTCTTTAATCTCTTTTTTCTTTCTTCCCCCTGAGACATAGTTTCTCTATGTAGCTTTGTAGACCAGGCTATCCTTGAACTCACAGATAACCACCTGCCTCTGCCTCTCGTGTGCTGATTAAAGGCATGAGCTGCCACTGACTGGCTCTTTAATCTCTTTAAGGCTTGATCAATTCATTAAATAGAAGTGATGATATCTCTTAAGCGTGTCATGTTATCCAATGATTTGAAAGTAAAACATATTCCATAGACCTGGTACATGTTAAATGACAGATATTTACCACTATTAAAAACGTGTACCAGCACCTTAAGTAAACTGGATGTAAGCACTTTGGCCTCAGTAAGTCTGGTAAATAAAAAATGATTATATGCATAAATAAAATTTAAAAGACTGAGGTTAAAATCTGGAACGTAAGGACCACACACCACTCTACCTCACTCTCAGGTATGTGTGTGTCTGTAGACAGCCTCACGCTGTAGTCCAGGCTGGCCTAGAATATGCTAAACAGACATGGCTGGCCCCAAACTCAAGTTATCTTCCTGCCTCTGCCTCTCCAGTGCTGGAACTAAAAATGTGAGTTACCATGCCAGGCTAAGATTTTTTTTAAAGAACCACAGTAGACTCCTAATTTTAAAGCACTGTTTCTTTTTGCTGTGTGCCATAACTTTTATTCTGTCCTGATAAGCTAATGATATTTATAGGAACTGAACAGATGAAACTTTACTAGGAAGTCTGTAAACTCAACTGAAAAGTTATTTTTTTTTTTTTTCAGTTTTCAAGACCTCAGAGATTCACTTTGTACCTGCAAGTCACTGGCACTTCCGACAGTGCAGACATCGGGAGCATACTTACTACAAAAATTGGTAATGCCCGCTGTCCTATATTCTTGGAGTCTCTTGATTTCCCTCCGGAGTTCAAATTCCACTGTTTCCCCAGGAGAACAAAGGACAAAAATTGTTAAAACAAATCAATGTCAGAGAGCGGCTGGGTGTGTTTCAGCAGTTCTGCCATATGTAAAAGGTGGGGTCACTTCATCTCAGGATACATTTTACTTTGAACATCTCATCAGAAATACCTCCCACGCCTTTAATCCCAGCACTCCTAAGTGGTGGGAGGCAGAGGCAGGAGGATCTCTGTTAGTCTGAGGCCAGCCTGGTCTACAGAGTGAGTCCCAGGACAGCCAAGACTACACAGAGAAACCATATCTTGAAAAACCAAAATAAATAAATAAATAAGCTAATTAAAAAAAATACAGTTAAAATGCAGCATTCCTGTTCTGCGCTAGCACTTCTACTCAGCCATTCACGCTCTCTGATGCGGTTTGTCTGTGGAGGAGACCCTGCTGCATGGTTAGGACAAAGCTTTGCTCAAGCCCCGGTTTCTTTTTAGCTTTTTCCTATAGGGACTAAAGAGCGCTGCATTTTCTATGAGCCACAAATTGCTGCTGAGCACACAGCTCAGACCGCACTGTTGGGTATTCTGTGACAGAGCAGTCCAAGCTGGGTGCTGAAGGAAAGCCATGCACAGGGTGACACATAAGCCAGGAATGATATAAAGTAGGACAGGAAGCAAAGGATAAGTCACTAGATACCAACCACACAAAGAATGACAACCAAACAAGGTGTTTCCTGAGGACAACCAACCTGGCTCAGGTAAATGCCTATGATTCTTCCTAAGAAATATGTGCACCATGAGAGCAATGGTAAAGTACTTTTCAGAAAATCACAATACAACAAAAAACTTTCCAGAACTAAACTCTCTCATGAGGAGAGTATAGAAATAAAACCCCAGTGCAGGCTGCCTCAAAGTCTTAGGCCTTCCTGCTTAACAACTTCAATTTTTTATAGTGGAAAATCCAATTAGAATTGGGATGAATGCTCTTGGGAATACCAGAGAAAGGCCAGAGGAAGATGGAAATATTGTTTCCATGAGCCAACAACCCTGTTCCCATGACTGAAACTAATTTTAATATTAAAATATTTATAAGCGATACTATGATGTTTGGAATTGGCTTCAAAATAACCAGCTTATGAACAAGAGGGTAGGGGAGTTCCTAGTTCCCTTCAGATGAAGCTGGATGGGTACTATATCGAAATCACCGAAGTTGGCTACACAGACACAGGAATTCACTGTGTTGTTCCCTCTGTAAGAAGCAAAAACTGCTACATATGGTAGCACATATCTGTAAACCAGTTCTTGGAAGACAAAGGCAGAAGGACTTGCAAGTCAGTCTGAGCCTAGGTTGGATTACTCTGAAAGTTCCAGGCCAGCCCAGGCTACATACACAGCAAGACCCTGTATTAAAACAAAGATAAAAACAAATAAAAGACACCAAAAATAAAACTAATAAAAACAGAACACAATAACAATAAAAAAAAATCCCCTAAAACAATAAAAAAAAAAAAAAGCACTGCATTAACTTGTAAGTTACTAAGTTTTCTCCCTCTTCGGCATGTAGGGTTGTGCATATGTGTGGTATATACATAAACTCAGAAATCAGGGGGACATGGGTGTCCTATTCCATCATTTCCCACCTTATTCCTTTGAGATAGTTTCTTACTGAGTCTAGAGCTAGGTGCTGGCCAGCAAACCACAGCAACACCCGTTTCTACCTCCTACTAGACTATTGCGGACAAATACAGCTTTTCATGTAAGTGTTGAGATCTAGATTTAGGTCTTCATGTTTATGCAGCAAGCACTCTTACCCACTGAGCTATTCCCCTGCCCCTCACTAAGCTTCTAATCTCCTTACACACACACACACACACACACACACACACTTCCAAAAAACACCTACATGCATGGCTTTCAATGAACTTGTCATGTTCCACTGGTCCCACAATCCTTGCAAATCGCCTCATTGTTTCATAAAGGTCTTGGACCTCCTTGGGATACCGCCGCTCCATTACTAGAAGAAGTGAAACATAACGTCACAGAGAATGTAAGCACTCCTGAGTTTCTGGTATTATTTTTTAAAACAAGCAGTAAAATGCAAGGACATTTTCCTACCCTCACATGACTAACATGCCCATTACAACATGCAAACAACAGCTGACAATGCAAATCACTAATCGTAATTACAGCATCACAGCACCTCACAAAGGGATGCTGTTATCATGGAGATCATCTCTACTACTAAGTACTATTGATGTCCTTGCTCATGTCTTTTAATCTGCACGAGACAAGGCAGAGGACCAGGCATTGTTGTCACAAGAGAGAAGGGAATTACAGGCAGAATCTATGTTATCAGAGAGAACTCTGGCTAAATTTCTGCTGGATTAATGGAGGAAAACAAGGAAAGCAAAGACATAAGAAACCTTCCAGCTAGTACGGACGCATGAGCCTAAATAATCCCAGAACTTGAGGTAGGCAGAAGACCTTCAGAAGTCTGAGGCCAGCCTTTCTCTAGAATAGAGACTTCCAAGCCAGCCAGAGCAAATAGCAAAATGTTGTCTCAAAAAAGAAAAGAAAAAAAAAAAAAAACTAAAAAAAAACAAAGGTCAATCAACTATGTGCATGTCATCCCGTGCAACAAGCTGATTTATTTAAGGCACTCTTCCAACTGTGAGACACCTCCAACCCCTCTGATCTTTCTACAAAAAAAAAAAAAAAAAGAAAAAAAATGTTTTAAACATGCACGAGTGCTCTGCCTGCATGTATGCATGTGCATCACATGTGTGCCCACTGAAGTAAAAAGAGGTCATCAAATCCCCTGGAACTGGAATAATAAATAGATGGTTGTGAGCCACCACGTGGGTGCTGGGACCCAAATCCTGGCCCTCGGAAAGAGCAGCAAGTGCTCTTAACTGCTGAGCCATCTCAGCAGCCCTACAAAAATGTTTTCATAACCTGAGACCAAGGTTATGTTTAACACATAATTTTGAAACATGACTGTCTAGAAAATGATCCATTAATATTCATGCTGTAATTACTATAACAATTAATTCTTAGGCAACGCTGTTGACTATAAATGAATAGTTTTTTACTGTCACCATGAATCAGAGCTGCCTCGAATGCCTTTGGTTTCATTTTGCTTTGGTTTCTGTACAAGGGATCAACATCACCCCAAACATGCTACACACCCCTCTGCTACTGAAGCTACCCACAAGTCCTGTGTCAGAATTTTCAAATTTTCCTAGGTAATGCTAGCTAGCATGCAATGTAGATTATGAGCACTCCCATAACAACCTGAAAGTACTCAACAGTGTGAGAAAAATTTAGATCAGAAAAAAAAAAACAGTGCATACTCACATCGGAACTTTCTAAGATTGACTAATCCATGATCTCTTATAATCCTAGAATGAAAAACCACAATAATGTATGTATTAAGAGTAAGCTTCAAATTTTGCGTGTTTTATATGTTATAGTTATTACACATCCTAACTATTAAGAGGTGAAACATTAGGGTCCAGAAAGTCAAGTGTCCACATGCTTCTGAATTAGCCTCTAAATGGAGAATGGCACACTGTCCTTCTCGGGGTATAGAGGACACTCACAGATGATTCAGTAACCAGTGACAAATGTTGAAAAATAAGTGCTTGTCAAGATGATTGAGAAGGAAATCTGTCCATATCATGAGACTAATCTACACAATTTATTGAAATGATAATTAACAAGAGTCATTTAAGGGAAACTACTAGCCTTGAAAGGACACACTGATCGCACATTAAGCATTTACAACCATACGTTTACATACTTTGAAGCCACTTGAAATAAATATAGATTAAACATGCTTAAATGGGAGAGAATTATAAAACATAACATTTAACAGCAACTCTTAACAACCGAATTCTGCAAGATCACATGGTAAGCTACAAGTGGAGCTTTTTTTTCTTCTAATTTTTTATTCATTTTACACACCAACCACAGTTTTCCTTCCCTCCTTTCCCCCACCAATCCACTCTTCAGAGAGGGTAAACCCTCCCATAGGGAGTCAACAAAGCCTGGCATATCAAGTTAAGTGGAGTGTTTTTGTTTGTTTGTTTTTTGAGACAGGGTTTCTCTGTGGAACAGTCCTGGCTGTCCTGGAACTCACTCTGTAGACCAGACTGACCTTTAATTTACAGAAATCTGCCCATCCTCTGCCTCCTGAATGCTGGGATTAAAGGCGTACGCCATCACTCCCGGCTATGTGGAGTGTTCTTATAGATAATATGTAACCAACAGCCCAAAGGTCAGAGAAAACAGGATGGCTTTTCTATACTTACTTTTTTCGTCTCTGCCTCTCTTTTAACCTGGAATGATAGATATCCACCACAGCCATCTTCAGAGCTATAAATACAAATACACATATATAAACATAAAAGTAAAAGTCAAGACAAAAGAAAAAAAACCAACCCTGCCAAACAATTATGTTCAAGGGCTGGCTCCCGAGAGCTGGGAAAGTATGTACCACCATGCCTGGCTTACCCAAATCTTAACTATTCCATAAAAAGTATCCTAGCACATAAAATTTCTCTATCAGTAAATAATAATTGTTATCATTATTCTGGTAGCACTGGCAACCAAACCAGACTAGACAAGTTCTATATCACTGAGTTAGACCTCCAGTTCAAAAATGAGTGTTGCTGTAACTGCACAGGATGCAGCTCAAGAGACAATGACAGGACAGCATTGATGGACAGTGTTGGCATGTTCCTAGAGTAACATCTTCAGGTGGGCAGCAGCATCTGTTTACAGCGCTTAGTTCTGCATTCTGTGATGAAAAGATATGTTAAGCAGCTTAACCACAGTAAAAGCCACGCTTTGCTTGCCTGCGCATGCCCCAACCCTTTCTAGTTTTAGTCTCAGGATAAATAAGAAAAGGACAAGCTGGAATCAGTACGACAGTCCTGCTCTTTCTTTCCCATCTTCAAAGTTCCTAAGGTTTCTGTTCTTGTCTCTTTTCACTCCTCACCTCACTCCTACAAGCTCTTTGGCTCCCAGGGTCCCACGTTCCATCAGACTACACTATCTAAAACTCTCACAATTATTTCAAGCAGCACATCCTGTTGGATATCCCTATTTACACAGCTTCCATTGCAAACTTACATATTCTGCTTCTTTCCCATCTTAAAACTCTTAACCACAGTTAACGGCATTATAGTAATCTAGTTGTTTAAGACAGAAACCAACTTGGAACCTCTTTCCCCTCTTCCTACATAGCCAGATAGAGTCTTATCTAAATGTAATATTTCCCAAATGCATCTCTTTCTGTCTAATCCCATCACACAACCCAGGCATCTTGTTGTCCTGATGCCTCCTTATGGAAGAACTTTATCATACTTACTGACTATGGTCCCTGCCTTCTTCAACTCCCTCCCTCCAAATGGAACTAAGAGCATTATTTTACAACAAAATTTAATGGTACAGTTCATCTGCGTCTAATTCTTCAGCTACACCCCCTACTGACAGAGGCTCAAGCTCTACACAGTATGCACGGCCTTCCAATGTCTTGTTTCCGATCCTTCCCTCAAAGGCTCCTCTATACCGTACTCAGAAAACCAGCTCCAGACTCCACAGCTGCTAAGAACAGATCTTAATGCAGGTGGCCTGGGTCCAGAGCTAAGAAAAATAATGAAGCCATGCCTTTAATTCTCTGCATTTGGGAGGCAGAGGCAGGTGGATCTCTGAATTTGAGGCCAGCCTGGTCTACAGAGTGAGTTTCGGAACAGCAAGAGAAACCCTGTCTCAGAAAAACAATGATCCTTCCACGTATTGACTATCTGTTAGTGGCTTTACTTTTTCTGCTGCTCCTATCCTAAATCTGACTTATTAATAAAAAATTTAAAGTTTTTTTTTAACCCACAGGCAGTTTATAATTAGAAGACCTCTAGGGTTACAAAATAAAGACTCATTATTAGCAATGCTAGAAGAAACTACAAGACATAACAGCACTATACTACTTAATAACCACCCTTCTGTTGAGTCTGAAAGCACTTTTAATTTAATGACTTTAGTACGTTCTGGAACTATCTTAAGAACTTGTTACCACCTCCTTAAGCTTCGTGTACTGTAATGTGTGTTCGGGTTTTTTCATTACTGAATATATTCATGGAAGAAAGAACTCCCAGCATTGCAAAGCAACCTGACGCACGACTTTTGAAAAACCAAAGTGCATAATCCAAGTGTCAGGAAATATAATCTTTAAATGAACTGGTGTGGGAGAATGGTCTGTATTCTGTCAATTATATTTTAAATAAACGCTGATTGGCCAGTAGCCAGGCAGGAAGTATAAGAGGGACAACCAGACAGGAAGTTGAGGCGGGTCAAGGAGAACAAGAGAATTCTGGGAAGAGGAAAGCTTGGTCCAGAGTCATTGTGACCCATCCACAGAAGAAGCATGATGTGACTGCCCCGCTGGATAAGGTATTGAGCCATATGGCTAACACGGATAAGAATAATGGGCTAATATAAGTTATAAGAGTTAATAAAAAGCCTGAGCTAATGGGCCAATCAGTTTATAACTAATGTAAAACTCTGTGGAATTTCTTTGGGACTTAATGACTCTGGGAACCATGCAGGACAGAAAACTCAGTCAACAATAAACCAGCTTTTCTAGCAATGAATTTGACTGTGTAAGGGAATATACACTTATCTTACAAAAGTAAGCTTCATTTCAAATTAAGAGCCCAGAGCCCCTGGAATGCTGGTAATTCAAAAGCACCACAATCTCATCTTTACCCCATACAGAGGTCCAAGTTCAAGATTAGCCTAGGACTGCAATGAGTCATGTTCTATTAGTTTTAAACCACCCCCCACCCCCACCCCCCCCAAATCTTATTAGGCACAGTAACTCAGACTTCATCTGGCTGAACCTCATACTCAAGGCCCAGCCACCTTTCCCAGCAGTAGTCCCTGAAGGTTCCTCCACAGAGACAGCTTGAAGCCCACATTTCTACTCAAACCATACTATATGGTAGGGGGAAAAAAAGACTAAAAAGAATCTATTTCTTTTATTGTATGAAGGTAAACAAAAAAGTCTCAAGCAATATACAATCCTGGTAGGCTAGGGGCAAGATAATAAATTTTAGCTGGGAACGGTAGAACATACATACAATCCTAATACTTGGAAGAAGTGTTAGCGTTCCAGTCCAACCTCTATTATATGAAAACCTGTCTTAAAATATATGTTTGTATATGTATATGTGTGTGTGTGTGTGTGTGTGTGTGTGTGTATGGAGATGGGTTTTCAAACACTTTAGGTAACAAACTTGTGGGTTTTTTTTTTTTTCCCTCCTTTCTTTCTGGAGACATTCTCACTATGAAACCCTGGCTGGCCTAAAACTAACTAGGAAGGACCTTGTTGCCCTCGAATTCACAGAGATCTGCCCGTTTCTGCCTCCCCAGTGCTGGGAACATTACAAACTTTTTAAAAAAAATATTTATTTATTTATTTATTATGTATACAATATTCTGTCTGTGTGTATACGTCCGCAGGCCAGAAGAGGGCACCAAACCCCTTTACAGACGGTTGTGAGCCACCATGTGGTTGCTGGGAATTGAACTCAGGACCTTTGGAAGAGCAGGCAATGCTCTTAACCTCTGAGCCATCTCTCCAGCCCCAACATTATAAACTTTTAAGAATAAAATCGTTCTTGATTTGGGGCTTGTTCCATGTAACTGTCCTGCTACTACAGACAATCCACACCCTGCCTCTATTTTAACAGGTGGTGGGCAGGCTGTGGAAGGGATACGAAAAAGGAAGAAAGCAGGTGTCTCTGACATGTATATAATGAAGTTGCTTATGAGAATAGAAGGACTGAGAAGTAACAATTCCAAACGGAAGCGAACAAAAGTAGTAATAGTAGAAACACTTCAAGAACTCACATTTAGGTTCTTTAAATCCTTCACTTCACTTATTTATCCATTTAGATAAATTCTACAGAAAAGAAGTATCTTGGAGATTTATGCAAATTAGGGATACTTTTGATAAGAACATTTCTGTAATTTTGTAAAACACTAACTTTACCATGTTGTTTCCCAAGCCTTGTGTAGGAATGACTAAATTAAAATGAGAAAGTCTTAAGACTGTACTACAAAAATAATCTATAAATAAATACTGTTAACCACTGGCTCTACTGCTTGATCATTTTAGTGCCCCTGGCTCCAGGCAACAAGGGAAGAAAAGAAATCGCAGCAATGGGAGGAGAACTGGAATTCTTTAAGAGAAAAATTAGTATTTGAAACTACCCCCTTTCCTTACAAAGCACACTCAGCCGCAAAGATTGCAAGATCTTTTTTGTTGTTGTTGTTTTTGTTTTTCGAGACAGGGTTTCTCTGTGGCTTTGGAGCCTGTCCTGGAACTAGCTCTGTAGACCAGGCTGGTCTCAAACTCACAGAGACCCGCCTGCCTCTGCCTCCCGAGTGCTGGAATTAAAGGTGTGCGCCACCACAGCCCGGCAGATCGCAAGATCTTAACAACCTGGGAGGCACTGAGCAGGATGGAAATGAGAAGGCAGGCACAGCGAGAATGAGATTCATTAGTTCACAGTCCACTCTGAGCAGTTCAGAGCTCCAGGCACAAGTTGCCACACAAACTAGCCAGAGGCCACTAAAGAGAACCACGCAGAACCTACCCACTGACATGAGGTCCTGAAATTTCAGCTCTGGGGGAAGAATAGCTGCCCTGTGATTACACTGGGGACTGATAGTTTCCAAATGGCTGGCCTTAAAATATTTCAAGAAGTGGGCAGAAGACAGAGGCAGCTCCTTCCCACTGCAATGTATTTCTAACATTGTTCAAAATAGCTAACAACATGTTTCTGTTTTCTTGACAGAAGGCACTTACTGCTTGCTTGGCAAGAAAATCAACTGAGAGGAATGAACTGCAGAGGCCAACCAAAACCCTCACTGCAGGACACAAACACAGACTTGTACCTCAGGTAACCAAAACCCTCACTGCATGGGCACAAACATAGACCTGTACCTCAGGTAACCAAAATCCTCACTGCACAGGCACAAACACAGACCTGTAACTCAAGTAATCCTCAGAAGTAAAGCTTTATAAATTGCACCTGTAATCCCAGAATTTGGGAGGTTGAGGCAGGAGGATTAGGTTCAAGGTCATTCTCCAAGCGAGTCTGAGGCCAACTTGAGCTACTTGAGACTCTGCCACAAAAAAAAAAAGGGTGGGGGGGACTGAAGAGATGGCTCAGAGATCAAGAGCGTTTGTAGAGGATTGTAGCTCAGTTCCTAGCACCCATGTCTGGTAGCTCAAAATGGCTTGTAACTAAACCAGGTGTGGTGTCACTTGCCTTTAATTCCAGCACCTGTGAGTCAAGACCAGCGTGGTCTACAAAGCAAGTTCCAGGACTGCTTCCAGGATATACAAATAAGAGAGACTTGCAATTCAAGCTCCAGGGGGATCTGACATGCCTAGCATCTGTAGGTACCTGCACCCACACGCATATAAGCATGCACACATACAAACAGACATAACATGAAAGAGTAAAAATAAAGTGTTTTTGTGATAGGGTCTCTATGCAGTCCTGGATGCTCTGGAACTCACTACACACACCAGGTTGACCTCAAACTCAGAGATCTTCCTGTCTCTGCATCCTGAGTGCTGGAATTAAAGGAGTGTGTCACCCTACCATGCATCAAATAAAGAGGTGGCTAAGCAGTGTTGCCTTTAATCCCAGAACCTGAATTTCAGGACAGTCAACACTACACAGTGAAACCCTGTCTCAAAAACAAATAAACAAAAAACCCAAATCAAAAACAAAACAAAATGAATGGCTAGGAAGAAGACTCCAAGGGGAAGAATGACTGTTATGAAAGAGTAAGGACGTGAGACAAAATTTACAGAGCTCACGTAAAAGCTGGGCATGGCCGCATGTGTCTGTAAGAGCATACGGATGGGTCCTGGGAGCCTGCTGACTAGCCTAGCGAAAATGTGGAGTTTCAGGTTCCAAAAAGTCAGGTGGAGAGTGACTGAAGAAGACACCTGACATCTTCCTCTGGCCTCCTCATGAACATACATGGGTATATGCACCACACACATACTCTCCCGCCCCCACACCAGTAAGTGCTGTTCCTTCAAAAAATAATACAATTCTAGGGGCTCTCCGATGGCTCAGTGGTTAAGAGCACTGCCTGTTCTTCCAAAGGTCCTGAGTTCAATTCCCAGCAACCACATGGGGGCTCACAACCATCTGTAATGAGGTCTGGCGCCCTCTTCTGGCCTGCAGGCATACAAGCAGACAGAATACTGTATAAATAATAAATAAATATTTAAAAAAAATATTAAAAAAAAAATAATACAATTCTATCAATGGAAGACTATTGACCTAATAGTTAACGTCAGTTAGTAGGAAGTCAGATGCAAATTACTTAACTTTGCATATTTATTTGAATGTAAAAAGAGAACATTATCTATTCCTACCTCTCAGTGTGGAACAGCTACACAAGACTCCAAAGTGAGCCACAGAAAAGAAACAGCAACAAAAATATTAAAGATGTAAAGACTGAATATGGTAGTCGTGACTCTTGCCTATAATCCTAGCTCTTGGAAAGTCAACACAGGAGGATGGCCATAAGCTTAGGCTACAGTATAAAACCCTAACACAAAAACAAATAAAAAATAGGGCTAGAGAGATGGCCCAGAGGTTAGGAGCACTGGCTGCTCTTCCAGAGGTCCTAAGTTCAATTCCCAGCAACCACACAGTGGTTCTAATGAGATGTGGTACCCTTTTCTGGCCTGCAGCATACATGCAGACAGAACACTGTATATATAATAAATAAATCTTAGAAAGAAAGGAAGGAAGGAAGGAAGAAAGGAAAGAAAGAAAGAAAAAGAGAAAGAAATAAAGAAAGGAAGGAAAGAAGGAAGGAAGGAAGGAAGGGAGGGAGGGAGGGAGGAAGGGAGGGAGGGAGGAAGGAAGCAGACAGATACAACAGGATCCCAAGACAGCCTGGTCAACAGAGCAAGTTATAAGCTAGTCAATGGCGAGTTAGACCCTGTCTGGAACAACAAGCCAGAGGGAGAGAAGACAAATTGTATTAAAGTGTAACCCTGAGAAGCATTGCAAACACTGACTCAGCACATAGTGCCTCCAACTTGCCTGGGCTATGGAATAAAAACAAGAAAGTTGACCTATCCATAAGGTTTTAGATGCTGGGACACTTAGGGGAAGGGTTATCTACATATTTAGAGATTTTCACAGATGAATGGAGGTAAGCATCTGCCTGGAAATCAATGTCACAAGACCAGAGTGTTGAGTTAATGACTCTTCTGTGCTTCTTTCTGAATCAGTAATAGCTTAGTTCAACAAAGTAAGAGACAGCACCACTTACAAGATTGCAGAACTTCCTTATTTTCTTCAGAAATTTGATTCACAGGACAGGCCTTTCCTGAGCCCATGCTGGGAACTTTCTGGCATACTTGGAATGCAATTAACTATCCCTCTTATTGTATCCCATGCCTCAGTAATGGACCACAAAGCCAACTTGATTGGACAAATTCCATGAATCAATGTGAATCTTAAGGTGACACAAAGAAAGAGCTTATTGGCATAAGACCACATTCCTTCCAGCAGTTATGAGTGAGGGAGCCTAAAAGGAATGTTGCTAATGCCCAGTCACATTGAGAGTACAATGGAATGGCATAACACCACCAATCCGCATTGCACACCATCATTCATCGTAAACATGTCCACCCTGACTCCCTGACTAATCAGTGTCACTAACTCTTTACCGATATGGAACACAGAACAGCAGGCAGAACTTCAAGGGCTTGCCTAAGATTCCACAATGACTCAGAAGCAAGCCCAAGCTTGAATCAATGTCCTGATTCTCACCAATCTGTGCTGTTGTAATCTGCTGGCCTGTCACCTGGGTACACTGTCCCTTTAAGAGACAAGCTGCACCCACTCCCAACCTTGGCTCCTCTTTAGCCAAGGAAAATAGGATCTCCCACCTCCTCTCCAGTTCTCTCTCTCTCCTCCCCACTTCCCCACTTTCTCCCCTTTCCCTCCATAACCCACTAAATAAACTCTATACCCAAACTGTCTTGGCATGGTATGGCTTATCTATCTGTCTCCAGCCAAGGACTCAAGTGACCCTAGTGGAACCAGTCCCCACCCCACCTCTTTATAAATGATAACATGTGCCCCCCTACCCCGCTATGTGCTAGGTATGCTTAAAAGCTCCTTCTTGTTCCTTCATGAGCTCCTGGAACCCCTCACTTGGTGCTCTAGGAGATGGCTGGGAATAACACGTACCAGCCGTAATCTTGCTGCCAGAGAAGATACTGTAAGAGTTCAGAGTCATAAAGGAGGCACCTTTATGGTGCTGCCAGGAAGGCACCTCTGTGGATCTCCAGGGCTTCTGAAATAGTCTCTTTTAAAAAGCACCTATTTGTATATTGTTGGAAGGCCTTGCTGTTCAGAAATCACAGCCTATCATGGCCTGGTAACTTTTTCTAAAGCTTGAAGACATGGGAACTCTCTCCCCATCAGACTTTCTGCTCTCTACCTGCTCGTATCTGGAAAGTGTCCCTAGGAATGGAGGACTAACCTTATCTGAAAGCTGTCTCTAAGCCTGGATGCCTGATTTATCTTTAACACGACCCTTGGCATGTTGTTCCCTGCTAGAAGCTTCCCCACTACACATATGGTAACTAAGACTTGTGCAAGGAGCTTTCTACAAGACCCTGCTGTCACGTATGAAGAATTATGATACGACTGTGCCACATAATGCAAATTATGGTTTGTTCCCAGGGTCCCCAATCCTATATATTTCCTATATTCTGGAATAAAGTTGAGCTGATTCACCGAAGTCATCCTCCAGAGGGCTTTCTCGGTCAGACCTACAGTCGTCGGAACCCAGTTCCCCAATTCTGCTCTCTCTACCTTCATGAATCAATGCACCAACAATCTCAAGGAAGAGGATCAACCACAGTGTATCATACAGTTCACAGCACTCAATCTCCAGTTTGGGGAAAAGGTTATGCACGCCAGTCATTGCAATACTCAGGAGTTCAAGAGGGTAAGTTCAGCAACTTAGCCACAAGATTTTGTTTTGTTTTTTGTAGTGTCTGAATCTAATCCAGGGTCTAGGGTACAGTCTACCACTGAGCCATGTCACCAGCCCAACCACTAAGCTCTGAATTCTCTAAGGGCAGAGGACATGCCTTATTAGTCCTTATACCCCAGCATTCAGCACAACAGTGTCATCAGTACTTGTACTGAATAAGCATCTGAAAAAAATAAACATTACCGTGTAAGATGTCTGAGTCGTCTTCAACAAAATCAATGTCTCTTAAGTCCCATTCTGCATAATTGTCAAATTCCTGTTAAAGGGGAAAAAACCATCCAAACCCATCAGTTTTTTTGTTTTGTTTTTTCGAGATAGGGTTTCCCTGTATAACAGTTCTAGCTGTCCTGGAACTAGCTCTTGTAGACCAGGCTGGCCTTGAACTCACAGGAATTCACCCGCACCTGCCTCCGGAGTGCTGGGATTAAAGGCGTGCACCTCTACAGCCTGGCATAAACCAAGTAATATCTTTACAATAGCCATGCTGCAGAGGCAAAGAGAAAAGTCTTGAGCCAGTATTTGCTAAGCACTAAATTGGATAAAAGACAAAGACGCTGCTCTAAGGGAAAAACTACAGGAAAAATCTAAGAGACTTTCAGACAGTAATCAAAATAAAGAGCTAGGATAGCACAATATTAGGAACAAAGCCAAGTCTATTATTTAAAAATGTTTAATAGTCTGTTCATTCCAAAGAGAATCATTGATTTAGGCTTCCAAGTTTTCTGGTAATAAAGTTGCCTGCATTAATTCATTTTCTTTTTAATCACCTTTTGAGGAAACTGTTTAGTCCTAATATCGCTTATACACTACAATAAGATCAGTTCGGGGAAGAAGGTGACTATGGGGTAGCTCTGCACTACCTACCACCTGTCATAAACAAAAGGCCCAACTGGGTATGACAAGCTGGGCTTTAATTTAACACCCCATCTCCAAGGGTACTGCAGATGATATCAGATAGCAAATTATTTTTTTTTTCTTTCTGGTTTTGTTTGAGACAAAGTTGCTTATATATAGCCCTGGCTATCCTGGAACTCACTCCGTAGACCAGGCTGGTCTTGAATTCAGAGATCTGCCTGCATCTGCCTCCTGAGTGCTGGGATTAAAGGTATGCGCCACTACCACCTGACTGCAAATTAAATTCTTATGACTACTTCCACATTTGTTTTAATTCTATGGCTAAATGAGGAAAATAGTTTTAATGAAATTGTTTTAATGGACACGTGTATACATACAATGCAGGACTCAGCAACCACTACTCAGTCCACTGCCTACTTGAAAAATAAACTTTTATTGGAACACAGACATACCCGTTTGTTTATATATTATCTACTTTCCTTTTCTTTCTTTTCTTTTCTTAGACAGGCTCTCACTACACAACCCAGGCTTATCTAAAACTCAAATGCTTCTATGCTATTTTTGGACAATTACAGCAAAGTTTGGTTGCAACAAAAAATTAGTTATTTAAAAATCTTAAAATGTAACCTGGCCCTGATACAGCAAAACCTTGAAAACCCCTCTGTGCTGTGAAATGACAACTGCAGAAATTTCACACCTACAAGGTTAGTGGGAGCAATACTATGCATCCTGGAAGGCCGGTTCCCCCTTAAAATTGCCACTGTTCCACAGGTGCTCACAAGGAAAGGAAGGAGCAAAATGTTGACTCCCCAGGCTTTGAAAAGTATCCCTCTAGTAAGAGATAATAACTTCATCAGAAACAAAAGTAAGTTTTTCCTTATTGTATGCTAAAAACAAGTTTTTGTTACCTCAATGAAATCTGCCCGAGCTGGCATGTATCCTGCCATGTCCCGAGACAGCAAAGAGTCAAAGGCGGGCCGGGGAGGGTCATCTGCAGCTGGAAGAAACAACAGGATTTTCTTAATAGATAAAACACTGACACAGGGCTGGAGAGATGGCTCAGAGGTTAAGAGCATTGCCTGCTCTTCCAAAGGTCCTGAGTTCAATTCCCAGCAACCACATGGTGGCTCAGAACCATCTGTAATGGGGTCTGGTGCCCTCTTCTGGCCTGCAGACATACACACAGACAGAATATTGTATACATAATAAATCAATAAATATTAAAAAAAAAAAAAACAAAACACTGACACAAAAACATCAAACGAATGTCTTTATGTATAGTCTGGATTTAAAAAAAAAAAAAACTGTTGCCCAATATTTGTTTATACTGTGAAGATGTGTCTTTGTCAAGGTGCCTTCTGAATGGTTTAATCAAGAGCTGAATAACCGAGCTGGAAAGATGGCTCAGCGGTTAAGAGCACTGCCTGCTCTTCCAAAGGTCCCAAGTTAAATTCCCAGCAACCACATGGTGGCTCACAACCATCTGTAATGAGGTCTGGTGCCCTCTTCTGTGAAGAAAGGCAGAGTCCCCAGCCAGATAGATACTGGGAAGAAACAAGAGGTGCAAAATGGAAGAGCGGTAACGCCACGTGGCAGAACATAGATTAATATAAAGTTATAAGAGCTAGTTGAGACAAGCCTAAGCTAAAGGCCAAGCTTTCATAATTAATAACAAGTTTCTGTGTCATTATTTGTGAGCTGGGGACCAGTGAAAAAGCTTGCTACACCAACAAGCCCCCACCCTACACTCACAAAAAACAAACAACAAAAGCAAAACAGTTTCTCAGGGTATGATGGCATATGCCTGCAATCCTAGTACCTGAGAGGCAGAAGCAAAAGATCAGATGAAGGTTACATTCAGCTACACAATGAGTTCAAGGTCAAAATATATGAAAGTAGGTATCACTATGTAGCTGAGAGTGGCCTCAAACTCTTATAATTCATTTGCCTCAGCCTGCTGAGTATGGGGTTACAGGTGTGTGGTACCACATCCCACTCTGAAACAGATTTCTTTGAGAAAAAGGATCTAAGAGAATAAATTAAAAAGTTTTATAAAGAGCAAAAAGGTAATCATTAAAAAAAAACTAATTTTTTCTGCTTTTTTTTTTTTTTTTTGAGATAGGGTCTTCTCTCTATGTAACCCAGACTGTTATGGAACTCTTTATGTGGACCAGGCTGGCTTTGAACTCAGATCCACCTGCCTCTGCCTCAAATGCTGGTGGTGGTGTTCTTATTTTGTGTAGAGACAGAGATTTCAAACTCATTATATATTCTACACTACTCCCAAACTCACAATCTTCTGCCTCTGTCAGCTTCCCAAGTGGCAATTGTGGGGGATATAGTCACATGCCACCATGCCTGTCAAACTCCAGGCTGATTTCCTGATGAAAGAAATTAAGTCTGAAGGAATCCTCCCAAAACATCCTCTGATTTGCATGCACTTGTACAGGCAGGCATGTGCAATGGCATGCATGTGGAGTCAGAGGACAAGCTGCAGAAGTCAGTTCTCTCCTACTATATGGGTCCCAAGGATTGAATTTAGGCCATACTTGGTAGCAGATGCCTTTGCCTGTTGAGCCATCCTATAGCCTTGCCCTCTGGTTTTTGCTTTCCCAAAATGAAAGGAAATGAAAGAAACATTTTCCTTCAGTGTTGTTAGAGAACTCCAGTATCCTGTCAGTGTCTGCTCCTTTGATCCTTAGGACCACTATCAACTACAGATCTTACCCAACTGAGAAGCAAAACTCCTGGATTTCTATGTTAATCAAACTGAGAACTAACGTCAGCCTCCAACAGTTCTATGACTTCACACAAATTTTTCAACCTTTTAAAAATCTCAGGGTTTTTTTGTGTGTAACGCAAAAGCATCTGTTCTACTTATTTCGCTGGGCTGCTGTTAGGAACAGACAGGCCTAATGGACGTGAGGAAAGTGCTAACATCCGAAGAGCCATTCAAACAGCAGGTATGGGCAACCTCTGAGGCTGTAAGCTACAGAGCTGTTTCCAAGCAGTGAGGAGAGGGAGGCCAGTGGGGAAGCATCCATACATCACTGTTATTCATCAGGCTCTGGTTATACTGTATCAAAAGACCCACTGATGCCCTCCGGCATATAAGATGTAAGACTGCCTTCACTGGCATAACCAAGTGAATAAAAAGAACTACTTACTTCTTGGACTTAACACTAAGGCAATACTGGATCCTGATAAGCAACTCCTACCTGATTATAAACGCTGCAACAAATGACAGCATAGATAGACTGGCCCCTTTTTGGACATACCACTTTACAGAAGCAATCATTAATGTTAATTGGTATATTCCAAGTGATCCAGAGTGGAAAGCTACAACTCTGACCTCTGGGATGTGTTGCCTCCTTGCCATATCTCGGCCCTGACTCAACATACCAAAACTCCTCTTACCTTCCAGAAGTTCTTTATCTGTCCAAATCACCACATCACTGTTTATCTGCTATGGAAACAGAGCCCAAAGACGGGCTAAGGACCTTTTACCCAAATAGGCGGGCACTTACAGTGAAACGGAATGGCTGTGTCAGCAGTTCTGGCTGCCTCAGCTTGCTTCAGGTTCAGCAGGGTGGATGCAAACAGAGGGTTATTGATGAAATGCTTCATGTAGTGCTTCTCACATTCCTCCTTGGTTTTGGTGCACATCTGATTAGCTACATCCTGCCTAGAAAATTGTGGAAGAAGAATGAAGAGAGTAGTTTTCTTACTAGTATAGAACATTTGTTAGTTCCATATTTGCAGACAAATCAATATAAAATCAATAATCTGATACCTCCAAGTAGATACCAGCAAAACAGTGAGACAGATACACCACTGATATGTGTGCCACTGATGGTCCAAATCCTGTTACTCCAAGAAAGAGAAACAATAAAGGGACCTTTCCTTTCCACTGGAAGGAAGATGACTATTTTCCAACCCAGAAATTTCCAGGCTGGGTATGTAGCTCAGTTGGTCACTAGCTTTCACTAGAATGCACAAAGTCCATACACGGTAGTACATGCCTGTAACCCCAATATGAAGGAAGCAGTGATAGAAGGGACAGGAAGTCAAGGTCATCTTTGGCTACATACTGTGTTCAAAGGCTAGTCAGAGACAGATACCTGAAACCTTGTTCCAAATGTCATCATCACATCACCATCATCTATAAATTTCCCTGAGGTAGGCCAGGGAAAGAACTGTTATCAATTAGAAGTCACCTTGGAGTCAGGCACGGACGGAGGCAATGCCTATAATATCAACACTGGGAAGGTAGAGGCAGGCACTTTGTGAGCTTCAAGTCTAGACCAGCCAGGGCTGTGAAGTGAGAGAATACTTCAAAATAAAAAGAGGCCAACTATGGTAGCTTATGCCTTTAATCTTAGAGCTTGGGAGATAGAGGCTGAAGGATCTCTGTGAATTCAAGGCCACCCTGATCTATATACTGGGTTCCAGGTCAGCCAGAATCACACAAAGAGAACCTTGTCTGGGGAAAAAAAAAAAAAAAAAAAAAACCCAAAACTACAAAACAGCTCCTGTCTCCAAAAGGTGGAAGGAGAGAAACAATTCTTGCCAGTTGTCATTTGACCTTCACAAGTATGTCCCCATACACCATAATAAAAGTGACCTAAAAAGTGTTTACAAGGGGCTGGAAAACTGGCTCAGCAGTTAAAGTATTTACTTCAGTGGTTAACAAGTGCCTGTAACTCCACTCCCTTTTCTGGCCTCCTCAGCATGTGAACATTAGTGACAAACATTCACATAGACACACATAGGCACGCACATACAAATATTTTAAATAAATAAATAAATAGCCCTTAAAAAACTTAAAAGATCATCAATAATAATAGAAATCATCTTGGAACATGCAAAATGTTTAAAACACAAGATGGCACAGGCCTTAAATCCAAGAACTTGAAGAGACAGGTGGATTTCTATAAGTTAGAGGCTAGCTTGGTTTATATAGAATTCCAGGCCTGCCAAGGCTACCTGGTGAGACCCTGTCTAAAAAAGTACCTAGTTTTACTTTTATATGTTTTATAGCATCAAATAGACATTTCTTCACTAGAATTCCTATGGATATGCAAGGCATTGAGCTACAAACACCTAGACATAATTTAAGATCACTTTAGTATTGGCCTTGTATTGCTACTCCCATTTCATGGAATAAAAAATATATGATATCCAAACAAATAATATACTTGCTAAAGAAGACAAATCCAAAATTTATACTGAGACCCTGACTCCTACCTCAGATGATGCAGCGGTAGAGGTGAAATCTTAGCCTCCCCCTCAAGCTCACTCTTAGAGAACCCCTTCCCCTAGGGCATCACTACGCTGCATGTGCTTCAGTCAACTGTAGACAGTCTGATTCCCTTACTAGGTATAGAGCCTCAAGGAGGGCAGGAACCTAAACTCGTGTACTCTTACCACCAAGCACAGTCCCTTACCCACACTGGATACAGAAGCAACTAGATGCTTGTGGGTGGTGATGGGGACTGAACTCAAGCACATCATATGTGCTGAGCAAAAGCTCTAACACTGAGCTATCTCCTCCATACAGTAACAGACCTATTCCTAGTCTTTGCTAAGAGGGAACGAAGATGAGGAGGACTGGCCCACTTTTGACGAAAAGTAATGCCTTAGGCAGAGATGACTAGTAAGCTGCTCACAAGCGATCCATTTTTCCCATCTTTGGGATTCTCCACAACACACAGTACTCATGATGCACAGGTGCTAAATGAACAAATGGAAACAAAATGTGAGCTGAGCTCTGGTCTCCCTCTTGACATAGGGAAGGCGGCACACCTGATAGCAATCAGGGAAGATCCAGAAGAAGGTTCCTTCACTATTAAATTATGAAAAATGAGAAAGAGTTTAACTCCCTAAACTTCAGATGCTTCATGAACAAAATATGTTTAATAATATATCTGCTACCTAGTTCACAAAACAAAATCATCAGCATAGTTTTCCTAAAATGTAAACTCTGGGAGCTGGTTCAGTGGTCAAAGCGCTCTCGTGCAGGCACAAAGTCCTGAGTTCCCATCCTCTGCACCCAGGTAAAAAGCTGGGCATGTGGCCTGCATCTGTAACTCCAGCACTTCGGAGGCAGAGAAAGGCAGATCCTAGGAGCTTATTAGCTAGCTCAAATCAGCTGAAACCACAACCTCCAGATTACGGGAGAGACTGTCTCAAAGAATAAAATGGAAAGCAAAAGAGAGCAAGACATTTGATAACAATCTCCAGCCACCACACACACACACACACACACACACACACACACACACACACACACACGGGGGGGGGGGGCAGCGCACAGATGGGCATGGGGACACGACGACAAGCAAACTCCCACTCCCAACACCCCCATTTACATACATATTTTAAAAATTGCATGGTGTGCCGGGCGGTGGTGGCACACGCCTTTAATCCCAGCACTCGGGAGGGAGGCAGAGGCAGGCGGATCCCTGTGAGTTTGAGGCTAGCCTGGTCTAGAAGAGCTAATTCCAGGACAGGAACCAAAAAGCTACGGAGAAACCCTGTTTTGAAAATTAAAAAAAAAAAAAAAAATTGCATGGTGTGCCCAGAAACCTATAAAACCAGAAGTGAGAAATAATTAGTAACCTAGGGGCTGGAGAGATGGCTCAGTGGTTAAGAGCATTGCCTGCTCTTCCAAAGGTCCTGAGTTCAATTCACAGCAACCACATGGTGGCTCACAACCATCTGTAATGAGGTCTGGTGCCTTCTTCTGGCCTGCAGGCATACACACAGACAGAACATTGTATACATAATGAAGAAATATTAAAAAAAAATTAGTAACCTATACTTCTCCACAACTCTGGAAGAACAATCTTAGAGTTGCTGTATCCAAAGCAACCTCTGAGAACTGCTCAGTCATGAACCACTAAGCACCCTGCATTCCAAAGGTATTTCAGGCCCAGAAGATGTGTACATAGACGAGAAACTACCTTTGACACCCTGGCCATCAGGAAAGCATCACAGCTTTTCTCTTTCTGAGGCTCTCTGCTTTTATGTTTCAAGAGTGGCTTCTGTTTTGAGCCCATGAAGACAGGACCACTCAATATTAAATTCTTACCAATTTCCAAAGCCACAGTCCATTACAGCTTCTAAAAGGGCCATTTCTTCTTGAGCAGTCCAGCTGGGATCAAGAACAGGAAAGTCTGAGGTCTAAGGAGAAAAAAGATTTGGTAAAGAACAGGGCTAGGAATGACATGCAGGACCCCTGGTTGTGTTCATGTGGCAGTGTACACTTGTAATCCCAATGAGAGGCAACCAAGGACTTCAGGTTCAGTGAGAGACACTGTCTCAAAAAATAAGGTGGAGGGCTGGAGAGATGGCTCAGAGGTTAGGAGCGCTGACTACTCTTCCAGAGGTCCTGAGTTCAATTCCCAGCAACCACATGGTGGCTCACAGCCATCTATAATGAGATCTGGTGCCCTCTTCTGGCATGCAAGCATACATGGAAGAAATGTTGTATACATGATAAATAAATAAATCTTTAAAAAAAAAAAAAAGAAGGTGGAAAATCTTGCAGGAAGACACCTGATGTCAAGGTCTGGCCTCCATACACAGGTGTACACACATCCCACATACAAATACCATCATTATCAGCTTCGTCATTATTTTCCCTAGGTTATGTTATTATTTTCTACATCTTCCATTCTTACCTCTATTACATAACAATATTTTCCAGTAAAACACAACAATATTTAATTTTTTAAAAAAAATATTTATTTATTATGTATACAATATTCTGTTTGTTTGTATGCTTGCAGGCCAGAAGAGAGCACCAGACCCCATTACAGATGGTTGTGAGCCACCATGTGGTTGCTGGGAATTGAACTCAGAACCTTTGGAAGAGCAGGCAATGCTCTTAACCACTGAGCCATCTCTCCAGCCCCAATATTTAATTTTTTAAAAGAATAAATTTTTTTTGGATGTGTCACATAGTGATTATGGTAATATTTATTGGTTCAGCAGTCAGAAGTGCATACTGCTCTCTCAGAGGACCAGAGTTTGATTACTAGCACCTATGTCAAGTGGCTAAGAACCATCTGTAATTCCAGCTCTACGAGATCTAATGCCTCTGGCTTCCACAGGCACCTGAACTCATGTGTATGCGTATGTGCAGGCACAGGTGTGTGCACACACACACTTAAAAATACATCTTAAATGCCAGGCGGTGGTGGCACACGCCTTTAATCCCAGCACTCGGGAGGCAGAGGCAGGCGGATCTCTGGGAGTTCGAAGTCAGCCTGGTCTACAAGAGCTAGTTCCAGGACAGGCACCAAAGCTACAGAGAAACCCTGTCTTGAAAAACAAAACAAAACAAAACAAAACAGAAACCATCTTAAAAATAATTAAAAAGGAAATCAATCTAAAAAGAAAAGAATCAGGCATGGTGGTATATACTTTAATCCTAGCACTTGAGAGGCAGAGGCAGGTGTGGATCTCTTTAAGTTCTAGGCCAGTCTGATCTATATACTGAGTTCCAGGATATCCAGGGCTATAATATAGACTCTGTCTCAAAAAAACAAAACAAGGGAAAAAAAAGAACCCACATAGAGCCAGGTGGTGGTACTACACACCTTTAACCCAGCACTCAGGAGGAAGAGGCAGGCTCTGTAAGTTGGAGGCCAGCCTGGTCTACAGAGTGAGTTCTAAGACAGCCAAGGCTAAACCCTGTCTTGAAAAACAAAAACAAACAAAACAAAACAAGATTTTGTACTGCCTTTACAGAGAACCTGAGTTCAATTCTGATAATCCATATTGAGCTCACAAACACTGTAATTCCAAATCTAGGGACTCTGACATCTCTAGCCTCTGTGGAAGACATGTACATCTCCCCACATATACAAAATTTAAGATAAAAAAATAAATAAATAAAAGGTGGTATATTGCATGCATATTATCTTAGCACTTGGAGACAGATGCAAGAGGATCATTGTGAGCTTGAGGTCAGTCTGGATTACATAGTGAGACTGTGTCAATGGTAACAAACAAAACACTATGCTATACACATCAAAACATACGATGACAATGCCAAATGTTAGCAAGTATATAAAATAATCATAACAATCAAGGGCTGGAGAGATGGCTCAGAGGTTAAAAGCACTGACTGCTCTTCCAGAGGTACTGAGTTCAATTCCCAGCAACCACATGGTGGCTCACAACCATCTGTAATGAGATCTGGCGCCCTCTTCTGGTGTGCTGGCATACATGCAGGCAGAACACTATACATAATAAATAAATCTTTAAAAAAATAATAATAATAATCACAACAATCAGACACTGACAGGTATAAACACAAACAAACATTTGGGAAGACATTCTGGTCATTTCTTTGAAAGTTAAACAGTACATTATACTCATTCTACCCAAGGAAACATGAAAATATATGAACACAGAAAGCCTTACCCAAGAATGCTCACAACAGCTGTATTTATAACAGCTCCCTATCTAGGCAAGGTGCAAGGGGTCCATCAAAAGGAAATGGGTAAATAGTCTATGCAGTAATCAAAGAACCTGCAAAGTTACTGGAAGAATATGCTGAGGACCAACTGCTCTGGGCCTCATCTGAATTCTGAGCCACAGCAACTGCGGGAGGTAGGTAATAAAGCAATCTCTACTTCAACCCACAACTTAGCTATGTATGACACAGAGCTAAACATTATTTGCTTTCATGGATGTCTGAAATTTTCTATGATGAAAGTAAAAAAGAAAATAACACAAGTCTTTCCAATCCCACAGGCATTTACAGCTTGTTATAGCTTTTTGTTGGTGACAAAAAAAAAAAATCTGTCCTCTTAGTAAAATCACAGAGATAACAGGCAACCCATTTTGAACTAAGCCTACCAAATGAGCTGAGAATGAAATTTCAGGGTCCATGCATATATTAAACCCATACCAAACACATTCAACCCGACAAGCACCATAAAGATATGCAAATATGAAGTCACACAGTGGTTGGCAGGTGTGGTGGCTTGAAAGAAAATGCCTCCCCAGAGGAGTGGCACTATTAGGAAGTATGTCCTTGTTGGGGGAAGTATGTCACTGTGGGGGTCGGCTTTGAGGTCTCTTTTGCTCAACTTTCCCTCAGTGCAACAGTCAGTCAACTTCCTGTTGTTTTCTGGTCAAGATGTAGCCAGTACCACGTCTGCCTACATAACACCATGCTCCCTGTCATGATGATAATGGACTGAACCTCTGAAACTATAAGTTACCACCCCAATTAAATGTTTTCTTTATCAGAGTTACTGTGGGCATGGTGTCTCTTCATAGCAATAAAAACCTAAACTAAGACAACAGGTCTGTTGTTTCTAAAACTTTCAGAATACTGATTACTCTTAACAATTTATAATGAAAACTTTATACACTATAGAAGAACAAAAAGCTTTATGAAATAACACTGAACTTCAAGAAGAGAAAAAAAAGACCCTCCCTTTCTTCTTGAAGTTCAATGTTATTCAATTCTTGACCCAAACTTGGGTCAGAATCTCTAACTGTAGATTTGGAAATCACAGTTCTAAGAAACTCCAGGTAATAAAGTCTAAGAATTACTGTCATAAAGGGTGTGGTAGAGGAGCTGCCTTCTCCTGCTCCAGGTCTTAAGAATTACAAGACAAAAATAACTACAGAATTCAGAAATCTCTATTAATGCACCACCCACCACAGCATGAGTAACTCCCCAAAATACAGCACTGTGAGATGAGAAAGTACTGAAACCATTTCAAGTTATCAGATGCTTCGTGCTGCAAAGAATCAAGATTTTAGAGGCCTGGGGTGTAGAAAGCCAAAAGCTGGTCATCACTGCTATAGAAGGAAAGATTTGTTGGAATAGGTGAGGTTCGCTAATAAAAGGTAGAGAGTATAGTAGCCCCTAGAAGCTCCCTTGAGTTCAGATCCCTGAAAGGTGTTTGCATGGGTGGGGAACATGTGAGAAAGGATGATGTAATAAGAATTAAGTGGACCTGGCTGAAGTGAGACAGTGTTTTTAACATTATGTGGACGGAAGGCAGGGTGCTCAGAATAGCTACAGAGAGCTCACAGTCAGCTTTCCAACAGTGGCTGGGCATGACTACCAACTACCCAAGCTACATAATTATCTCGTAAGGATTATTTTACCACTTCAAATGAATAAATTTGGATACTGGGGATGTACTTCCGTAGCAGCATGTGATCCAAACCCTTGCACCATAAAAATAATTAAAACAAATAACAAAATCTGAGTCTAGACATTCTTAGGAGCATTTGGAAAAAGTGAATCCATTTTTTGAAGATATAGTAACTCTGGTGAAATGAACCCCAAACCAAAGCTGCTCTCCAAACCCTACTCTCCAAACCTTCATTCAACAGGCAAAAGGGGAAACGTTTTGGTTATTGTTCAAATTAGTGAATTGAGTATGAGACTTAAAATGTGGTAATCACTGGGAGGTGGGGGCAGGAATATCTAGGATTCAAGGGCATCCTTGGCTACATAGCAAACTTGAGGACAGACAGCCTGAGATACATGAGACTGTCTTAAAAAACTCAAAAACAAAAACAAAAAACAAAAAACCTTCAAATTAAAAAAGAGACTGCACGCTGGAGAAATAACTCAGTGACTAAAGAGCTCTTCTAGAAGACCTGAGTTTGGTTACCAGAACCCATGTTAAGGGCCCAACAAGCCGGGCAGTGGTGGCGCACGCCTTTAATCCCAGCACTCGGGAGGCAGAGGCAGGCGGATCTCTGTGAGTTCAAGACCAGCCTGGTCTACAAGAGCTAGTTCCAGGACAGGCTCCAAAGCCACAGAGAAACCCTGTCTTGAAAAACCAAAAAAAGGCTGGAGAGATGGCTCAGTGGTTAAGAGCATTGCCTGCTCTTCTAAAGGTCCTGAGTTCAGTTCCCAGCAACCACATGGTGACTTACAACCATCTGTAATGAGATCTGGTGCCCTCTTCTGACCTGCTGACATACACACAGACAGAATATTGTATCTATAATGAATAAATAAATATTAAAAAAAAAAGAAAAAAGGGCCCACAACTGTCTGTACATCCAGCTCTGAATGATCAAATGCTTCTGGCCTCTGCTGATACCTGAACTCACATGCACACACCCACATGCAAGTACATACATCTATACATAACTGAAAACAAAAGCTAAGCAGTGGTGGCGCACACCTTTAATTCCAGCTTCGGGGAGGCAGAGACAGACAGATTTCTGTGAGTTTGAGGCCAGCCTGGTCTACAGAGAGTGTTCCAGGGTAGCCAAGGAGAAACCCTGTCTCAAAACAACAACAAAAATAATAATATTTTTAAAAGGAGAGACTGGAAACTGTAAGGAAAGGCAGATAGTTATTCTCCCAAAATTCATTTTAGTCTAGAACATGACTCCCAGTATTATAGGTGCAGGAACACTAACAGGAACCAACAAATGATCAAATTCATGTTAAGTCACTCTTTCTGAATGATTTTGTTTTATTTTGTTTTTGAAACAAGGTTTTATGTATCCCTGGGTAGCCTCCAACTGATCACGTAGAAAATGAGAAAGACCTTTGCTGGCTTCATTTCCCAAGTATTCCCAGGTACTTACTGTGTGTCACTATGCCTGGTTTTATGTGGTATTGGGAGCAGAATGCAGGGCTCTGCATATGGTAGGTAAGCCTCTACCAGCTGAGTTGCATCCCTACCTTCCTTTTTAGCTTTGTTCTTTTTTGGGTGTGTGTGTGTACAGGGTCTCACTATATAGCCTTATCTGTGTTAGAGCTCAATATGTAGATAAGATTGCCTCAAACTCACAGAGATCTACCTGCCTCGATTTCCTGAGTGCTGGGATTGAAGGCATGTATCACCATGCCCAATTTCTTTCTGATCTTTTATGAAACACACATAAAGTGCTGTGAATTACATAATTGGCAGAATTCTAAACACATTCCAGATTTCTCCCAGGTTTCTGTCTACTATTCCATCAAGCACTAGTACTGCAGGTAAAATTAAAATTAAATACTCTGCAGAATTAGAATTAAAATTACTAACAACTAGCAAAGTTGGGAAACGGCCTGATTTATCTAGGTGGGTCCAACGAAATCATACAAATCTTTAAAAGTACTAGAGGGGAGCTAGAGAGATGGTTCCATAGATAAGCGCACTGGATTTCTTCCAGAGGACCTGGGGTCAAATCCCAGAATCTATGGTGTCTCACAACAGTCCAGGGGATTTGACACCCTCTTCCGGGAGCACCTGGTACCATGTGGTGCAAAAACATACATGCAGCCGGGCGGTGGTGGCGCACGGCCTTTAATCCCAGCACTCGGGAGGCAGAGGCAGGCGGATCTCTGTGAGTCGAGGCCAGCCTGGTCTAGAAGAGCTAGTTCCAGGACAGGCACCAAAAAAGCTATGGAGAAACCCTGTCTTGAAAAAAAAAAAACAACAACAACAACAACAAAAAACATACATGTAGCCAAAACATACATAATAAAAATAAAAACCTAAAAATCAAAAAATAGATTCTCTTTTAAGTATTAGAGGAAGGCAGAAGAATGAAAGAAAATGCTTAAGCAGGATAAAGCAGGTCAGAGGTTCAAGTACTTCATCAACTTCATGGTTTCCCAGTATCACTCATTGGCTTTGGATATGGCAAAAGGAGGCCAAAGGCCAGAGAAGCCTCTAGAAGCAAAGAACAAACTCTAGCCAACAACCAGCCAGGAAACAGAGGCACCAATCCTTCAATCTCAAGGCAGTCAATTCTGCCAACAAACTGAATGAACTCAGAAACAGATTCTCCCCCAGGGTATCAAGATAAAAGCTCAGGCTGGCCAAACACCTCCATTACAGCCTCTCAAGACCTGCCTCAAACCAGCAAGCCCACTTCTGACCTACTAAATTCTGCAATAATAAATCAGTGTTTTCTTAAGACACTTAAGTTTTCATAATTTATAACAGCAACTGTAGAAAACTAACACAGTGCCAAAAGATTAATCTACAATGTTGAATTATTACTGTAAGAAAACTGTACCAGGGGCTAAGTGTTGAAAAACTTGCTTTAGATACTCTGAAAACAGACAAACCTTCCCCCTGAAACACAAGGGATCAAATTCAAAGCATGGTGCACACTAGGGGAGGCCTTTACCACGAAGCTAGAACTGCAGTCTCCAGACAAAACTATTTTAACAAGATACATAGACCTGTCAAGAGACCTGATTATTTACATTGGCATATTAAACTCCTGGCCCAAGTGGGAAGAGTGGCACACTTTTTATTTAAAGGTGGCTACTCAAAATCAGAGTCAAATCTTACCTAGCCTATCAGCCAGTTTGTCTCTTCTAATTTTTTTTTATTGTATGTTGTTTAGTACTTTATTTTTTTTTTATTTTTTTTTTTATTTTTTTTTTTCGAGACAGGGTTTCTCCATAGCTTTTGGTTCCTGTCCTGGAACTAGCTCTTGTAGACCAGGCTGGCCTCGAACTCACAGAGATCCACCTACCTCTGCCTCCCGAGTGCTGGGATTAAAGGCGTGCGCCACCACCGCCCGGCAGTACTTTATTTTTTTAAATATGTATTTTATTTTTAATTATGGTATGTGTGTGTGTGTCTGTGCATATATGAGTGAGGTATGTTGTGGGATATATGTATACTATTTGAAAATGTGTGGCTCTGATTGGTGTAATAAGCAATTGGTGTAATGGCCAATAGCTAGGCAGGTGGTATAGGTAGGACTTCTGGGCAGAGAGAGAGAACTCTGGAAAGAAGGAGTGGAGTTGCCAGCCAGGTGGAGAGGAAGCAGGAGATGCATGATGAAAGAAAGGTAAAAAGCCACAAGGCAAAATACTGTTTAATATAAATGGATTAATTTAAGTTATAAGAGCTAATGGGAAGAGCCTAAGCTAAGGCCTAGCTTTCATAATTAATAAGTCTCCATGTCATTATTTGGGATTGGTGGCAGAAAAGTCCATCTACAGAGATATGTATGGATTCCAGAAGAGGGCACCAGTTATAGGGAGTTATGCATTGTCCAATATCAGTGCCAAGAACTGAATTCCAGTCCTCTGCAAGAACGGTTGGCACTCTAAGATGATAGGCCATCCTTCCAGCCCTATTATCTGTGTTTTGAAACACGGTGTGGTTGAATGGAAATAGACCCCATAAGCCTCAGATATCTGAATACTTGGTCCCCATCTGGTGACTGTTTGGAAAGAATTAGGAGGTGTGGCCTTTGTTGGGAGAGGTGTGTCACTGGGGACAGGATAAGGTTTCAAAAGTCTCCTGTCACCCCCATCTCTGTTCCCAGTTTGAGGATAAGGATCTGAGGTCTCAGCTGCTACTTGTGTGCCATGCCGGCCTGCCTGCCTACAGCTATGCCCCCTACCATGATGGATGGACTCCTATCCCTCTGGACTGTAAGTCCCAAATAAACCCTTCCTTGTGTAAGTTGATTTGGTCATAGCATTTCATCACAGCAATAGAAAAGTAAAGTTACTTCCCAACAGCTACCACATGGGGATAAAGTATTCAAATGACTGAAACTTGGGGCCATTCTCACAAAAAAACCACCACACAGGGTCTCACACTACATCCCTGACTAGCCTAAACTCATGGCAACCCTGTCTGATTACAGGCACAAGCCACCACACTGCAGTCAGTCATTTTTACATTCTATGTTGTTGTCTTTTTTTTTTTTTTTTTGGTTTTTTGAGTCAGGGTTTCTCTATGTAACAGTCCTGGCTGTCCTGGAACTCACTCCGTGGACCAGGTAGCCCAGGCTGGCTTTGATCTCAGAGACCTGCCTGTCTCTGCCTTCTGAGTGCTGGCTGGGATTAAAGACGTGGGCCACCCCGCCTAGCTTAGTTAGGTTTTCTATTGTTGTGAAGAGACATAATGACGACAGCGACTCTTATAAAGGAAACATTTAATTGGGGGGTAGCTCACTTACAGTTTCAGAGGTTCCGTCCATTATCATCATGATGAGGAGCATAGCGTGCAGGCAGAAATGGTTCCAGAGCTGAGAATGCTACATCTTGCAGGTAACAAGAAGTCAACTGAGACACTCAGCATTTTCCTGAGCACAGGAAACCTCAAAGCCCACTCCCACAGTGACAAGACCGTATTCACTCCAACAAATCTCCTAATGATGCCGTTCCCTATGAGATTATACTAAATATATTCAAACTACAACATATGTATATACTTGTTAAGCTATTTTTATATTTAAATATCTTTATGTTACAAAGAACTAAAAAACCTATTAGATAATTATCAAATTCAGAAGAGAAAAAGGACAGAGATACGTGGAGCTAAAGAAAATGAGTTCTCAATCTCAATACTTGAAAAGTGAATAAAAGTTTCCAGTAATGTCATCATTACCATGATTTCGTAAGTATGATCACTCTGATGTTTCTTGTGCTCAAATCCTCGAGTGAAACACTGTGAAGAAAAAAAGTTAAATTACCAAAAGCCACATAAAAAATACTTCCTTAGGGCTAGGGATGAGGCTCAGGGGGTACAAGGCTTGTTACAAATATACAAAACACTGGATTCAACCCCAGCATTTGGGAGGTGGAACTGGGACGATCAAGAGTTCAAAGTCATCCTCACTCAGCTACATAGTCAATTCAAGGCAAGCTAGGCTACATGAGACCACATCTTTAACAAAATAAAAGCCAGGCTTGGTGGTGCACATCTTTAATCTCAGCACTCGGCAGGCAGAGGCAGCGGAATCTCTGCAAGTTCGAGGCAAGATTGGTCTACATAGTATGAGAAGGGTCAAGGCTATGTAGAGTGACCCTGTCTCAAAACACTAAAAATAATAAATAAAACTTAAAAAAAAAAAAGAAAAAAGATGGCTTGAAAGTGCTCTACTTTTTCTTTGTTTTATTTGAGGCAGTGTCTCATGTAGTTCACGTTATTCTTAATCTCCCTATGTAGTCTAGGCCAGCCTCAAACTCCTTATCTTCCTGCCTCTCCACTTCCAAAGTTCTAAAATTATAGGCATTCACTGCCACTACCAGCCTAAGGTAATCTAGTCATACAAGCTATAGTTTTGGGGGGTCTTCTCTTGTTTTTGGTATACCAAAAAGAATTTTGCGATGTAGCCCAGGCTGACTTCATCTTCCTTCCTGCTATTCATCCTCCCCAGATGGCACCCTATGTCCAGTGTATAATCTTATAACCCAAGGTAGATCACAACTTTTATCAGCCACTTTTTACATTTTAACCCGTCTAAAACTGGAATGCTGTGTGTGCACATGTGTTTGTAGGTACACTTGCCTATGCATGACCTTGTGGAGGCCATCACTCGGAGTCTTCCTCTACTGCACTCCCCTTTATTTTCTGAGAGAAAGTCTTTCACTGAACTTAGAGCTTGTCATTTCAGCTCGTCTGGCTGGTTAACAGACCCTCAGGTTCCCCCTATCTCCACTCCCTCCCCAGTATGGGGTTACAGAAAATGCTATCATGCCCAGGTTGCTGGGGATTCAAACTCAGGTCCTCAGGCTTGTGCAGCAAATACTTTATCCGCTGAGCCGCCTCTGCCATCCCTGGAATACTTCCTATAAATAAGTATCTCTCATATTCCCAACAAGCAAATCATCTAGGCTTTCTTTAGTTGAGTTTCACTTGTAAAATTGAGATATTTTATTTATTCACTTACAGCACTGTAGTGATGATTTAGGGGGTGATTCAAGTGAAGTACTCAAAATAGTACCTGGTACACTTATAATCAGTCTTACTCCTAATATAATCGACAAAACAGCTTGTTCCCTTGTCATCTATACAAAGACCACTCTAAGAAGCTAACAAACAGTGAGATCAAAAGGAACAACCTGTTAGTTCTGATTCCTGTAATCTAAATAACTTTACTTGGGGAAAGTGGTAAGCATTAAGTTGAGACGCTCTATGGAACAGCTGACTGTCTCATCCATCTGCTGTTTCCGAGCTTCCTGGTAAAGTATCACAGGGAAGACACTTGCAGGAGGAGAGCTCATGCAGTGTGGTCCTAAGCCACCTCAAGTTACTGCATCCATAAAACAGACCAGGAAAGACACCTTCTCCTCAGGGAGTTAGTTACCTGCAAACACAGGAAGAAAGGAGGAGGTCCACATTCAGCACACTTAATGTAAGGTTCCATGAGGTAGGAGGAGCAGCCTCTGCAAGGGGGCTTATCAGATGGATCATCTAGAACACAGAAAACAACGGAAGTTCAAAACTCTTCGTGAACACCACTAAGTGCAAAAGGCGAAGCTCTGCAAATGGCTGGAGACAGTGACTGCCTTGACAAACACGTGCAGGTGGGACAAGCTTATTCCACACCTAATAAACAAGAGCCACTCCCCTTTCTATTACATGGCAACATGTTCCTTCCTCCAGTGGACCTACAGCTTCAAATAAGGAGGCAGAGAGGGTGCCTAAAGAGAAGCTTGACTTTTGTAAAACTTTTAAAGTTTTATAAAGCCTCCTTTACCACAAGGAAAAGAAAAATGGGCATGTTCCCTACACAGAATGCATATACAAAGCAAACCAGACAAAATGCTAACAATTGCTCCATCTAGGCAGAAGTGCACAACCAGTCACTTTCTTTCAACTTCTCCACAAATCGGAATTTTTTTTTTAAGTTGGGAGAATTCCAATTTGGGGTTTAAGCTGTGTGTCTAGGCTGAGACTGCTACCCAGGAAAACACGAAACATTGCAGAACTCTCTTGTTCTGGTAAAAACAGCGCGTCTCTGGATTATGAAGGCAAAGGTACACTATAAACCCTCCAAAGCTCTAAAACTGCAGGTATGTATGTTCCAGGTTGCCCCAAATCCTGTCTCTCTGAAGTCAGGGCAACAGACTCTTCCCTGTGATTACCCACGGGAATGTGGAACAAAGGCCTTGAAAGGGAGATGGAGGGACTTATTTTGTTTAGTCTGAGGCAGGAGCTCATATTATGTTGTATTTTTCTCTCTAAAGCAAAAAAAATACCCTTCAAGGCACCATTCCTTCCTCTGAAGACACAGAAGAAAAGGACAGGATAAAGAAATCTACTCCACCGCCAGGCAGTGGTGGCACACCTTTAATCTCAGCACTTGGGAGGCAAAGGCAGGCAGATCATGAGCTCAAAAGGAAAAAGACGCCAGAACCTTACCGTAGGTAAACCACAACCTCATGGTGATTCACAGATTAATAGAAATGAGTTAATTTAAGATGTAAGAGTCAACTAAAAATATGCATAAGCTAATAGGCCAAGCAGTGTTTTAATTAATATAGTTTCTGTGTGATTATTTCGGGTCTGGGCATGGGAAACAAATGAGCAGTCTCCGCCTACAAAAATGAGTTCTATGACAGCCAGGACTAAGAGAAACCCTGTTCAAAAAACCAAAGAGCAAACAAAAAAAGTATTCCCAAACACTTTCTCCTTTTCTTCTGTTTTTGAAACAAGGTCTCATGTAGCCCAAGCTGGTCTCCAACTATGATGACCTTCAACTCCTGATCTTCCTGCTTCTGCCTTCAAAGTTGAGGGATACAGGCATTTGTCATCCACCACTTCTGGTGAAAAAACAAAATACAGTGCTAGATGTCATTTAAAAAAATATGTGTATTTGTATGTGTGATATGTGCATATGAGTGCAGGTGCCCATGGAGGTCCCAGAGTTGGAGTTACAGGCAGTTGTGGGTCACCTGAAGTGCTTGCTGGAAACTAAACCCCAGGCCCCTGCAAGAGCAGAACACCTTAAGTGACAAGCCATCTCTCCAGCCTAGATGCCTGTCTTTACCAAATCACCATCTCCCGAACTCTGGCTTTCTATTTACTTATTTATTTGAGACAGGGTTTCACTGTTTAACAGCCCTCACTGTCCTGGAACTAGCACTGTAGACCAGGCTGGCCTTGAACTCAGAGACAGGCTCTATGTGGTCAAGGTTGGCCCTGAATTCCTAGGCCCAAGTCATTCCCCTAGATCATCTCTAACTTTTTTGTTTTATATTTTATTATTTATGTATGTGTCTGTGTGTGTGCATGCATGTGCAACAGCATATGGAGGTCAGAAGAAACTTTTGGGGGGACAGGTCTCTTCTTCCACCATGTGCTAACCAGGGACTGAACTCAGGTCCTCAGGTTTGAGCCATCTTGCTGATCCTTTCCTATCCTTTTTAACAGTTCACTGCATCAATTGATTAACCTAACGGTTCACCACCCCCTAGGAAAGACATTTTGAAAATCCAAAAAAAGGTCTTTGCTGCTACAATGACTAGGATGTGCTAATAGCATTTTGCAGATAGGACAGGGATTCTAGATGCTCTGAAGTACTCAAGATACTTGTTCAAACAAAAACAAAACATGTGAACAAAAAGCCCACCGACTTAAGTCTTTAGCAAATTTCCATTATCTCATTAAAAATTCAACTGGAGGGCTGGAGAGATGGCTCAGAGGTTAAGAGTATTGCCTGCTCTTCCAAAGGGCCTGAGTTCAATTCCCAGCAACCATATGGTGGCTCACAACCATCTGTAATGGGGTCTGGTGCCCTCTTCTGGCCTGCAGGCATATACACAGACAGAATATTGTATACATAATAAATAAATATTAAAAAAAAATTTCAACTGGAGCCGGGCAGTAGTGGCACATACCTTTAATCCCAGCACTTGGGAGGCAGAAGGCAGGTGAAACTCCCTGAATTCAAAGCCAGCCTCCTCTACAAAGTGAGTTGCAGGGCAGTCAGGGCTACATAGAGAAACTCTTTGTCTTGAAAAGCAAACACAAAACAAATCAACTACACAGAAAACTAAACATCCCAATTACATGACCTAGAACCCATTTCTACATCACATGTAAAAAATATTTGTCTTTGGTAGTGTCAGGAGATCTGACACAGGATCTTGTACATGTGTCAAGCAGGTGTGCAACATTACCACTGAGCTATAGCCCTAGCCCCAACTAAAACATTTTTGACAGCTAGGTGTCGGCACATGCCTTTAAGCCTAGAATTCAGGAGACAAGCAGACAGATCTTTATGAAATCCACACCAGCTAGAGAGCTACTGAGACCCTGTCTCAAGAAAGAATTTTGACAGTTTAAATATATCTGAATACTCTAGTATAACAAGTATACACAATTCAAGAGGAGGCTGTACTGTTTGCCCAGGGATTACGAAAACTTGTAGCATTTCTTAATCACTAACAGCCTGAATTATCCTGCATTTCTCACAGTAAGATGCAGTCTAAGCAGCGGACTGCGTAAGTCATCATGTCTCTTACTGCCTTTATTTCGTGCTCCTATCCTTCCTCGTCCTTTTTTTGAGACGAGGTTTTACTTTGTAACTCAGGCTCTTCCCTGAACTGGAGACAATTCTGCCTCAGCATCTAAGTGCTGGGATTATAAACATGTGCCTGTAATCAAGTTTTTAAAACATATTGACATACTTGTTATTTTACTAAAAATAATATTTCATTACGGGTTACTCTTTTTACTATGGAAATGTTTTTATTTTTGAATAAAATAAAATACGCATTCCATTTTCAATCAATAAAAGACTTGAAAAATACAAAAAGAAATAATTGGGTCTAAAAGGTTGAGAACTAATCTGACCAGTTTCTAAATAGTGGCCATGTATGTATTTCTGACATTTACAGTTTTTTCTTCATCAGCATCTTTGATATGTGTAACATTTCACATTTATCCCTCTCCATGCATTTTCCTGAAACTAAAATTACTGAGTGCACAGAAGACAGATCCAGGATTTTGAAGGTTTATTTATCTTGATTACATTTATCCACCTTGTATGTATGTGTGGGGGCAAGAATGAATTATATAACATGTTACATAATTCACAACCACCTGTAATTCTACCTGCAGGGGCTCTGATACCTCGGCCAGGTCTCCACGGGTACCTGCCCTCATGTGTATATACCAATACACACATAATTAAAAACAAGAAAAATAAATAAAAAAAAACTCTAAGGAAATAGTTTTAAGAATCTGAAATATGACTCAGTGTTTAAGAGTGTTTATTGGTCTTGCAGAAGCCTGAGGGTCTGTACTCAGTCAGTATCCACACATCTGTTACTCCAGTTCCAGGTGATCCCAAACCTTTTCCTGGCCTTCATGGGCTCCTATAAACACGTAGTGCACATAAACTCACAGATGTGAACACACATACACAAAAATAAATCTTTATAAAACAAAAAGTATAAGCAAGTTGAAAAAGCAAGTAAACTGGAAGTATTCACAAACTTTTAAGAGGAAAAGTCTGAAATTATTTTTTTTAAATCTTTATTTTTATTCTATATGTATGAATGTTTTAGTGCATGAATGTGTACACATCATGTATACGCAGAGCTTGTGGAGGCCAGAAGGTCAGATTCCCTGGGGCTGGAGTTACAAACAGTTGTGAACCCTCACGTGGTTGCTGGTGGTCAAGCTCAGGTCCTCCAGAAGACCATTGAGCCAGCTCTCCAGCACCTCAAACTTTTTTTGTGGGGGGAGGGAGCAGCTTTTTGAGACAGGTTTTCTCTGTGTATAGCCCTTGCTATACACACCCTAACAATTGTGTTTTAAAATTGTGTTGTGATGACACACACCTTTAATCCTAGCACTCTCAGAGGCATAGGCAGGAGGATCTCTGTGAGTTCCAGGACAGCCAGCACTGTTACAGAGAAACTCAGTCTTGAAAAACCAAAAAAACAAACAAAACACAGTAGGCGGGAGTAGGTTTAGTTTACATTTGCAGTGTTGCTAAACTGAAAATATAGAACTTGATGTGTCCAAAGATTCTATTTTTCTTTTCTTTTTCGAGACAGGGTTTCTCTGTAGCTTTGGAGCCTGTCCTGGAACTCGATCTGTAGACCAGGCTGTCCTGGAACTCACGGAGATCTGCCTGCCTCTGTTTTTCTAAATAAATGTAGGGAAAATGCAGAATGCCATTTAGAAAATGACAAACAAAATCTTTTCTTACTGGAACACTAATGAACATCTACTTTGTGACTGTACTTGTGTGTATGTGTCTGTGCATGTACAAGTGTGTATCACCTAATATTGTGATTTCTATTTCTTCAAAATCCAATGATGGTACATGTCTGAAATCTTAGCACTTGGGAAAATAAGTACTCCAAGGTCTTCCTTAGCTACAAAGCCAGTTCCAGATCAGTCTAAGCTACATGAGAAGAACCTGGGCTCAAAAATAAAAATGTTCAATTACACATCAATCACATGGTGGCTGGTCCACTCAGCTTGGTTTTATTCTAAGACTTGGAGTGATAAATACATTTGTGACATGTTCAGTAGGCAACCAATAGGTAATGGTTGATTTTATTTTAACATTACATTCATAATTCCTTCAGGCATTAGCATTCAACTTCAAAGGCGCTGCTTCCACGATCGACTTCTACTTTAGTTTGCTATTGGTCTTCACTTGAGACTTGTCCCACTGTACTTACTGCTAAAGGAACCCAAACGGTCCATTCTCTAAATGACAGTGACTGCTGTTGGCTCTTCCTTGATATGGAGCTTCTTCAAGATTTCAGAAGTAGCCCAAAATGGACGATTGCCTATGGACAAAGAGAAGAGCCACATGGATCAGAAAACCATTCAAAGGTCTACTACAAGCAGCACCTTCAACCCTGTCACAGCAGGGGACCTGCTCTTCCTCTATGCATCTATCCTCTGTAAAAGGGGTGTGATGCAACAGGTTCAACCTCAGAATTGTGAGCATTAAATGTACCCTCAACTATCCATACCGTATAGCCTGGCACATGGGTGCTACATATCTCTGCTTTGGTTTTTGCTTTTGAAGCAAGCGTCTGTCTCACTATGGTAGTCCAGACTGGCATCCAACTGGAGATCCTAAAGCCTTGGCTCCCCACGTCAGGGATCACAGGTGTGCTCCGCCATAACCAGCAAATGCTAAGAATTTCTAATAAACATTTGGCTTTTTCTGCCACGTATCCATTCTCTTTGGCCGGATTTACTTTGGTAAACTGACATGGCAATGGTGGGGTAGCCAATCACGACGCTCAGACCTCCATGTTCACAGACTTGAAAGTACGTCCTTAAAAAAAAAATCTACAACTTGGGGGCGGGAGAGATGGCTCAGCGGTTAAGAGCATTGCCTGCTCTTCCAAAGGTCCTGAGTTCCATTCCCAGCAACCACGTGGTGGCTCACAACCATCTGTAATGAGGTCTGGTGCCCTCCTCTGGCTTGCAGGCACACATACATAATCAATCAATATCAATCAATCAATCTACAATTTGCTGGTACAGTGGTAGACATCTTTAATCCCAAAACCCAGGAGGGAGAAGAAAATAGGTCTCTATGAGTTCAACTTTAAGACCAGCCTGGTCCACACTGAGTTCTATGACAGCGAGGGCAACACAGTGAGACCCTGCCTCAAAAATTAAATTTTAATCTGAGTTTTATTACTGGAGACCAAGAAATCCTACCTAAACCAGGCGGTGGGGTTGCAGGCCTTTAATCCCAGCACTTGGGAGGCAGAGGCAGGCAGATCTCTTGAGTTCGAGCCCAGCCTGATCTACAAAGAGAGTTCTAGGGCAGCCAGGGCTGTTATGCAGAGAACCCCTGTTTCCAGAAATAAATAAATCTATCCTGTCTAGACCAAGTTGGCCTCAAACTCATAGATCCGCTTGCCTCTGCCTCCCGAGTACTGGGGCTTTTACTGGGATTAAAATGAATTTATTTTATTTTATTTTTTTGTTTTTTTTTCGAGACAGGGTTTCTCTGTGGTTTTGGAGCCTGTCCTGGAACTAGCTCTGTAGACCAGGCTGGTCTCGAACTCCCAGAGATCCGCCTGCCTCTGCCTCCCGAGTGCTGGGATTAAAGGCGTGCGCCACCACCGCCCGGCTTGGGATTAAAATGAATTTAACAAAGGAATAGTATATACCCAGGAATAAAAGAAATAAGTTAACATCCATATGCTAGGAACTGAATGGTACATCAGTGTATGTGGAATTATCTCTTGGAATCCTAACACTCTCCTGGAACAGGCTGTTTTGTCCAAGGAAAGGAAGTGCTAAAGACTGGGGTATTCACACATGTTTTTACAAGTTGGTGAACAGGAAGGCTACCACCATACAATAGAAGCTTCCACCGTAAAGAAAGCTAGAATACGCTCTGACAAACACTTCACGTCAAAAAGCACAGCGCTGCAGAAAGCAAAAATCTTTCTTCCCATCCTTTCTTAAAAGCCCGCACAGTGACAACATCGTGAGAAGCAGGCTACATTCAAATGATTACTAGGAAGGAACTGAGAAGCAAATCCCGGAGTTGCAGGCTTAGCAGCTGTACAGCCCTCATCCTGACTGCTGTGTGGCCTTGGGCGAGTCACTGTCCCCGAGCTCGCAAACGCAGCCGAAGACTGGCTCGCGGAGACCCACGTGGAGACTCGGCGGGTCAGGTGGGCCGGGGCCGCGCTCCACCTCCCAGCCGGGAACACTGAGGTGCCGCGCCGTCAGTCGCCCTGGAGCTGGGGGAGGGGCTGGGGACCGGTCCGGCCGCACCCGCCACCCGCGCCGGCGTGGCCCCGCCGCGACAGCCCACACCTCGTGACCCCGCGTGCCCTCGTCCCCGCCACCCAGCCCGCTCCTCACCTCGCCAGGTCTCGCACCTCCGCGCCGAAGAGCCTCGCGTCGCGCGTGAGGGCTAGGCTCCCTTACGTGCGCGCCCCCGGTCTGCGTGCACGGCCCCGAATCACGTGCGCGGCTCCGGACCATGCAGTCGCGAGCACGTCTGCCCCGCCTCCACTCCGGCCGCGGGCGGGTCCCGGGAGGTGCTGTCCCGAGAGGGGGAGAGTAGTACCCAGCTGCTACCCCGCCGGCACAGGAGTCTGACCTGCTGTCACTTTTCCAGTGACGCGGGCATCCCGGTGCCGTGCTCTAAGGCAGCCCAGGCTGGTTCAGTCTGGATTTTCTCATAACATTCCCACTCCAGTCCTGTCGCAAGCAAGGAAACTGAGGCTGCCCGAGGTACTGGGCCGGAGGACGGCGAGCCTGGACCGCACCATGGCACTCATGGATTGTTCAGACTGAATACCTTGCGGGGTGAAGAGGGTCCTTTTCATTCTGATGCTTCTGGGACGTCGCCATTGCCTTCTCTGGAAAGAGCCATCCCCTCTCTGGGCTTCAGATGCCCACATGGAAGTGCAGTGATGATGTGGTGGTCCACTCTGATGTCAATCTTGAGGGCTAGGTATGTCCCAACATCTCTTATTACTACTAGTAGAGACTGTTGTGAGAGCTTACATTTATGGAGTCCTTTCTTACTGCATGCCAGGCATTGTACAAAGCGGATTACATTTACGGGATCGCCTAAAACAACTTTCTGAGGGAGGCACTATTCCTGTTCCCATGTTCCACCTGAGGAAATATAGGCACTGGAATAAATATAACTTAGGATCACATTGCTGCCAAGTGCTGGGGAACGGATTCCAACCCTGGTTGATCTGAACTATTGTGCTGTATATCTACTTAAAAATCTGCCTCATAGATTTACCCAGCTTCTGTTGGAATTCATTTATACACTGTCTGTGTGGTGTCTTTATTCTTTTTTTGGTACACAAGTAATGTAAGTCCATCGTTAAAACAAACAAACGGAAATCTCAGCTGGGTGTAGTTAGTGGCATACATCTGAGATCACAACTTGACTTGGGAGACTGCAGGACAATTGCCATGAGTTTGACGTCATTCTGTGCTGCAAACTGAGAGATCTATCTAAAATAATAATAATAATAATAGAAAAATCACCCCACCATGTTGAACAGTTAATGTTTTGTGTATATTCCCATCCACACACTTTCCTCTTATTTATTGTATCAATGATATGGAGTACTTTACATTTACTGAATCCTCAAATCTATACATTCGTTTGGCAAATGCACAATGAGCAGTCACTGTTCTAGGTGCTGAGAATTTGGTAGTGAGCAAAACATAGTCTCCTGCTTATAAGGCTTGTGTATTATATATATACACATGTATATTAAAAGATAAGTATACTATATATAATAAATATTAAAAGATGCCTCATAATATGGTTTTATGGGAAGTGAATGGGGATCAAGGGAAGACAGTGATCCAGAGATTTTCTTTTAGTCAGGATAGGGAAGAAAGGCCTCTTAGCAGACACAGCACACAAGTGGAAATCCGATTATTTAGTGAGAAACGGAAGGTAAGTGGATTTCCAGAAAGAGCTGTAGATGAGGAACAAGTACAGTGGCCATGGCACATGGCTTTGATTGCCACGGAAAGGAAGTAGAGAGGCTAGAATGAACTGAACAGAGCTGATTAAAGAGATATGATGGAAAACACCGCCAGGACCCAGGTCGTGTATCATTTGGTGAACTTTGGTTAGATTTTGGGTTTCACTGGGATGTGATAGATTCCCATAAAGAATTGAGATCAGTGTTCTTAAGAAAAGCATAGTAGCTCATGCCTATAATCCCAGCACACAGGAGGCCAACCTTGGCAACGTATAAAATTCCAGTCCAATCTGGTGTATAAGACCCTAACTCAAAAAAAAAGAATAAATTAAAATGCCCAAGGGGGATGAAAATTAAATTATAAATTAAAATATATTCAAGAGGATACAACAAAGTATGATAACATGTATATGTGAAAATGACATAATGAAACCCGTTATGGATAGGCTAACTTAAAAATTAATGCAACAAGAATTAAAATGTTCAGGGATTGGTGGGATTGCTTAGTCCATGAAGTGTTTGAATTTGATCCTCAGTACCCATATAAATGCCTAGGTGAGCTGTTGCATGGCTGTAGCCCCAGCCCCGGGAAAGGAAGGAGACAGGAGGATCCTCTAGGGTTTCTTGATCAGATGACTAAATCAATGAACTTCAGGTTCATTGAGTGATACTCCCAACAAAGAGAATGAAAGGGCTGGGAAGATGGCTCAGTCAATGAAGTCCCTGCTGCACATGTGGACCTGAGTTCAGATTGTCAGCACTAGTATTCCACTCACTAGTAATCCCAGCACTGGGGAGAGTTGAGAGAGGCACATTCCTGGAGCTCATTGGCAGGCCAGCCTAGCCAAACTGATGAGTTTCAGGACAGACCCTGCCTCAAAAAGTAAGGTGGAGAGCAACTGAAGAACACCCAACCTCAAGATCTGGCCTTCATATGTAGAGGCACATATCACACACAAACGCACATGCATGCACACTATTCCAAAGTATAAAAAAATAAAATTTCCAATGAAAGGAAGGGTAACACTGTTAGAAGCAGTGCTTTCCTTGATTTCTTCCTTAAGCAGTGTGGTGCTAGTGGCATTGCTAGACCATCAGAAGAAAAGTGGGGGAGCCTAACTGGAGGAAGACCCACTTGGAGGAGAAACCGAGTTTTGTTTTAGATCTATGTTTTGCATGCTAACTGGAAAATGACAGTAGAAGTTTACTGCTCAGTCGAGAGCTCAGGACTCAAATTGTGTAACGAGGAGAATTGTTTCTTTGTCTGTGTTCTGCTCAGCTTGAGAACAGACTGTCTTTTGTCTTTGGCACCTCAGCAGCCAGAAAGGTAGGGCCAGCAGATACGGGTGAAATAAATAAAGCCAAAGGTATGGCCAGATCCAGTGGCACAGGCCTTGAATCCAGGCGCTCAGGATCAGTGAGAGGAGGGTTCGTTGAGGCCAGCTTGGTCCTATACCACAGCTTCCAGCCAACCAAGGGTTACATAGGAGTTCCTGTCTCAAAAAACAGAAACAAAAAAGGCAAAGGGCACAGATAAAGCTACTCAGATAAAATGCGTGAGATTTAAGAAGACCTGACACTGGAGAGGTGACTCAATGGTTAAGAAGACTGGCTGCTTTTTACAGAGGACCTATGTTCAATTCCCAGGGCCTACATGGTAGCTCACGACCACCTGTAACTCCAGTCTTGACAGATCCAATGCCTTTGGCCTCCATGGGCACCAGGCATGCAAGTGATACAAATACATGCAGGCAAAACACACAAAAAAATAAATCTAAAAATGTTTTTTAAAAATAAAATATGTACTCTCTACATTTACTGGACTTTGAAACAGCTGAATATGACTTACAAGTAGAGAGACCATAATTCCTGAATTGGTCAGGCTGCTCCTGGTTTATTCCTGTTGTTACCTAATTATTAATATTGCCTTGATTTCTAAGATGTATCTTGCTTTGTACAGTAAATCTATACATCATTCTTTATAGAAGGCCCTTCCAAATCTATCTTGTTTTCACTCTTTTTTTTGTGTGTGTGTGTTGGGGGTGTTATGTTTTGGTGCCAGGGATCGAAACCGAGGCAAGCACTCTGCCACTGAGCTAGGCGTAACCTGTGACTAGCTCCTTTGTTCGTCCTCTTGTCGTCAGTTCCCCAGCGCCATGGAAAGGCCTCCTGTTCTCATACGTGCTCTTACCTCCTGGCTCCCTTTGCCAAGGGAGGGCTTTACTTCAGCTTGGCTGTCACTTCCCCAGAACCCCTCTTCTGACCCTTCAAAACTCTGAGTTCCCAGCATGCCTTGAACTTAACTTCAGGTCAAAGCTGTGCCTTGTGTCCCTCTCACCATCGCTGTAGAGACATCTGGAAATACAATGGACACACAATAATTTTACACATTTGCTGGCCACTGTTTTTATTTTATTTTTTATTTTTTTTGGTTTTTTTCGAGACAGGGTTTCTCTGTAGTTTTGGAGCCTGTCCTGGAACTAGCTCTGTAGACCAGGCTGGCCTTGAACTCACAGAGATCCGTCTGTCTCTGCCTCCCAAGTGCTGGGATTAAAGGCGTGCGCCACCACTGCCCGGCTGGCCACTGTTTTTAAACCTTGACCTTCAGGACAGGCCTAGCACATACTCTAAGGCCTTCATTCTTGACTAAGTAAAGAGTCGACTTTTGAACTAGAAGTCTAACAAAGAAAATTGTTTCCTGATGCCAGGCTCTGGAATGTGACTGCATTGGTTGAGAACAATATCCTCAGTTCCTCCTCATCTGTGGAGCTCTGTGGTTAGAGTCAAAAGTGCATGTTGTGGCCTCCTTCCTGTGAAAATAATACCCTGTCATGTGTCTGCTTAATTTTCCTTTTTTTCTAGTGAGACAGACAGTCTTGTTATGTGGCCTGGAACTGACTGTGTAGTTTAAGCTAGCCTCGATTTGGTGATCTTTCTGAACTTGCAGCCACATGTCACCCTATCTGTCTCTCTTACTTACTTACTTTTTTTTTTAAATTTATTTATTATGCATACAATATTCTGTCTGTGTGTATGTTTGCAGGCCACAAGAGGGCACCAGACCTCATTACAGATGGTTGTGAGCCACCATGTGTTTGCCAGGGATTGAATTCAGGACCTTTGGAAGAGCAGGCAATGCTCTTAACTGCTGAGCCATCTCTCCAGCCCTCTTACTTACTTTCTATATCCTAATGTTGAATGACTCTGTAAACTTGCTCTCCTCTGACTTTCCATCTGTTCCACCTGACTGTGATGGCTGTTGGTAATGGGCATGCAAGTATGTTTTTATTTTTTATTTATTTTTTTTTTTTTTTGGTTTCTCAAGACAGGGTTTTTCC